GGAATTTTCAGCACAAATTCTGACTTAGGTTCTTTTCTGGTGTTGATGCATGATTTTCTCCACGCCAAAAGATGAACAATCATCTTTTACTTTGAGAAGTTGGATTCACCTCAAACCACAATTATTCTTTGAGAGCATCAGCACCTTTCTGGCTAATCCTTTTCAAGGAAGCCATTAACTTAAGCTGCAAGTTGTACCTCCTCTCATTTTTCAATGACACATGCTTGTTATCATTATTGTTCTGCTTATCAGTGTATCTCTCTTTCTGGGGATGTATTATTTCATGCTTCGACATCTCACCACAAAGTACAGCTATAGTTTCCAACCACATATGTAAGAGTAATTGAAAGAAAAATTTGGAAAGTCTTTGTTCAGGAGACATGTCTCCTAAATCATGTTGAACTGGTAATCAAATGGATTCAATAGTTGCTCTAACTTTAACTCAGCAAAATGAGCCTTTCCAAATCCATGGTAGGGAGTTATTCTAATTGAGCCCAGGACCCCTTGTGATAGAAAATGCTGAATTTTCTAAGCAGATTTGAGTTCACGTTCTGGATTGGAGGTGAGACTGGCTGCAGGGATACAAGAGCATCGACCAAGTTCTCTGGAGGCAGCGTTTTTGCTCCCTTGCAACCTTTTAGCCCCAGAATAGCTAAATATTGACTTTACTAGTATGGAATAGCAATGTTGCCCTGGGCTGGTCCTCAGCCACATGTGCCAGAGACCCCAAGGGATCTCCTTTCCTTACAGCGTGAGAGATGGTATAAAATCTGTCTTTAAGACCACTTTGAATCCTGCTGGAATGGTACAAGGGGATTTGGCTGGCACCAAAATATGTTGTTTTTTTTTTCTTCTTCGAGTCTGATCATGAGGGATGGATTACAAGCCTTTGGAGAGTGATTAGTTATGTTTGTTAAACCAGTTCTTAGCTGGATCCAGCCTTTTGGTCAGGAGTCAGGTGAAGAAGCATAAGTCCAAGTGTGACAGAGAGGAAAACATCATGTGTGTGGCCCACATTTTGTTATTTCTGTAAAAATATGTCCCATTGACTAGATGATGTTACATTAGCCAAGGTGTTCCACTGCTTTGAGTCGTGCCTCGGCTTCCAGAAAAAAGTAATCTCTCCAAATGAACTGACTAATAATTGAGGGAGACCTCAAACGATCCCTAAACAGCCCACATATTAATTAAAGACAGATCAAAGTAGAGTTTCTCCTGTTCTCTCTGGAGGCAATTGAATTTCTGAGGGAAAGATAATTCCTCGTGGCTTTTCCTTGGTTTCAAGCTGAGAAATGCACCCTGTTTCCTGGCTGGCAGCAAAGATGTGGGTGATGTATGAGGAGCAGCCCGGACTGAATGCAGGAACATGCTGCTGCCATTTAATCCAAGATAATATATTTCACCATCATACGCCTGGAGTTTTTCAGCAACTGATTTAATGTATTGGAAAATATTTGGCTTGCCTTGGAAATGTTTCCCATTTGAAAACAAGCTGCAGTGGGAGAGCTGGCAGTTGCACAGGAGGCTGCTCCGTGAAAATTGGATTTCCCTGAGCGGCGCAGTGGGAATAGGTCACAGTGAGGGCTTTGAGCAGCTCCCAGAAAAGGCTCCAGGCTCTACAGATCTGCCAATGGAGAACTCCTCCCGTTGGTCTCCAGAGGACTGCTGTCACCTCGTAGCTTGGCAGAAAAGGGATTTGGAACATATTTTATTCCTGGTTTCTGTCCCTGGGGCAAGGAGGACGTGCAGAAGAAGAGCAAAGCCTGGCTTATACTCATGAATTAAAAATCTTGGGATTATTTTAAATCTCCAGCTGTGGAGTAGAATCTCCATTCTGATTTTGCTCTCATTTTAAGATATTTTCTTAACCTCAACAACTACAGAACCATTAGCTGGCTTTAATTTATTAGTAAGTAACACCAGGACACCTGGTCCTGGTTGAGAGAGCCAAAGGTCTCATGCATGAACTCAGGTGACACACTGAATTTCCTCTGGGGCCTCTATTACCTGCACAGGAATCAACAGCTCCCCCTCTCAGGGGTGACGTGAGGACAAGTTCTGCTGCTGTTGTGATAATGCTGAAAGAGGTTGCTCCAGCCCTGGAGAGATTTGTTGCTGTGCCTAAGCCCTTCTGGACACGGATTTATTGTTCAGCTTAAGCACAAGAAACAATACTGCATCCAAAAAAGTTCCTCTCCCACCCTGGCTTGCAGCTTTCCCGGGCTTTTCCCTTGCCTTTCCCAGCACAGAGGACCACACACCCTTTGGTGCTGGTTCTTTCTTCCACATATCAGCAGCTCCTATCTCCACCCCTCGTGCTGCATGGGACCCTGCCTGCCCTTCAGGGTGCCACAGCCTGGGCCAGCTCACCCTGCTCCCAAAGCCTGCATCCAAACCTGCTTTTTTGTATATTTTTTTCTAGATCGATCCCTTTCCCTCTGGGATAGGGGGTGGGAATGTGCCTATTGATCCTGCAGCAGATGTTATGCACGGGAAGGTTGTGCATGAGGCATGTGATAGGAGTGTACTCCATCTCGCTGGCACCCCGCATGCTGCCAGTGAGGATGGTTTGCTGACAGAAGGCTGTCACATTCCCAGCTGACCTCCACAAAGCTGTCTCAGTGTGGGTATAAGGCAGGATCCCTGGCTGGACCGGTTTGAGGTGCCCATCCCCATCTCCTTCTTGAGAATGAGGCGTGTTTTAGCCCTTAGCAAGCTCGTATGAACTCGATAAAAATACAGGGCGGCTTCCTCCCGTTCCCACTGACAAAACCCGAACTGCACAGCGGGAGGCGGAGTAAAACAACCCAAACTTGGCAGGAACGCGAAGGGAGAGGGTCCGCAGCGCGCAGCCACGAGAGGGCACGAGAAGCAAAGCTAAGACCCTTCTTCAAAAGGGCTCCCCGCGGGGCTGAGGATTTATGAATGACCAGTCTTCTTTCTCAGAGCAGCTGAGCTTCTCCTTGTGGATGTGGATTTCTGTGTTCCCAGGCTGGCACCTACAGCTGAAGGGACACCTCAGTTCTTGGTGCCCGAAGGAGGACAGCCCCATGATGGGCATTCCTGACTAATGTTTCTTGCATCCCCCGTCCCTGGGTAACTTTTCCAGTCCCTCTGTGCCGCATCCTTACCTGGGAAGCGTGGCAAGAGGAACGAGTTAAAAGGTGAATCACCTGCCCTCTATGGCAGTAACTGCACAGGGCAGATGGACTCTCGAGAGTGGGAAGTGCTTGGGTTTCAAGGCTTATTGTTAAACATTCACCAGTGCAAAGGAAAGAGAATTTGTCCTGTTTTGCAGCAAAACCTGGCTCTGTGCTTGCTGTTTACAGTCAGAGTCCATGGGATGTCCCTCTTGCCCTTCCTGAAATGTCTAAAAAAAGCATCTGCAGTTGCTCTGAGTTGCAATGGGACATCACCAGCTTGTTCTAGGGCTGGGTTGTGTTATTTGTCACAACAGGGAGCAAGTGGGACAATGGGAAGAAGTTGAAGAAAACCCTTCACTGGGTCTGGGGGGCATGAAAGGAATTATGAGAGGCTGTGCAAAATGGCTATTTCACCCCAAGGCAGGACCACCCCACCGTAAACCAGCCCTGATAGTACCTCCATTAGACTGGGAGTGGGGTTAATAGTCCTCGTAGGAAGGGATGGGAAAAAAAATTAGAGGAAAAAAAATTGTACCTGGAAAATAATAATGTGGGTCACTGCTCGGTCAGAGGGAAAAAGAGAGATGTGAAGAGATCCCTGCCTGGGAGCATTCAACTGCTTTCTCTGCCTGGCTCTGGTGTTGCCCTGTGACAGCAACAGGATTCTGGCTTGCACAAGGACCACTGTGTCCTATGATACCCTTGATACCCTTCCCTAATTTCAGTCAGTTCTTGTTCCTGCTGCCTCAGAAAGGTTTACTGACAGTGAGACATATGAGGTGAGAAGTCAGCCTTGAGGCTAACACTGGAAAATAATTTGTGGAGGGAAAGAAAGTACATATTTGGCCAGGTTTACATGCCAGGTCTTGAACCAGCAGAACTGTTTTGGCAAGAAGCATAATTCTGTTTGACTGAAATAGTTATGAATCCAACTTCAAGGCTGATTGCATCTTTATGACCTGAAATTACTTTATAGCTGTAATTTATTCTCCCTTTCCTACAGGAATAACTCTGGTAAGGACTCATCTTGCTGTAACTAACACCCAGAGGGTGATCAAAGAACAGTTATTCAGTCTGACAAAACAGGAGCTTGAGGGGCTCACAAAAACCTGTCAAGTGGCATGTTCAACACCGTCAAAGAGAGGCACTTTGTGTACTAAATCTATGGACTGCCTTGGGCAGGTCCTGTGGGCACTGATGGGAGTTCAACATGTGGGCAAGTTCATAGGATTTGATGTACAGAGATCCCACCACCTGTTTTGGGTAGCCTCGAGCCCCCAACTGCTGGAAGAGGGATTTGACCCCAGCACTGGGTCAGGGCAGAGCTGCCTCTTTCTTACACTCTTTGGAGGCATGACCAGAGATAGGGTATTGGACTAGGCTGACTTTTGGTGTGACCATATACACCCATGGGATATGTGTCTGTGACTGTGTCTATCCCAGTTGCTTTGCCAGCACTTCAGGGTTGGGTTTCCCTGCACTTTTGACACACAGAAGGCACATGATACACAGACTGAGCCTTTGAAGGTCAGAGTCTTCACCCAGAAGTGGCCTGCAAGCCAGACAGTACATCTGAAAAACCATGCCCAGGTCCAGCATCCTTTTTTTTTCACCTGGTTGAAGGTTTAGACACCACTCACACTTGGAAAGCTACAGCCCTTCAGAATGACTTCATGGTTCCTATGCAATACAAACATAGCAGAAAGGCTCTGATGCAGTGAGGACTCCTCCTTTCAAACCGGTCTCTGTTCTTCTAAAAAGCTTATAGAATAAAATTATTATAACATTTGAATTCAAGACATGGATTTATGTGCTCTTCATAAACACCGTCAGAAAGGGTTTTCAGAGCCACAGGGATAAAAGGTAAAATTGCCTTTATTCAACTTAGTATAAAACAGGAAGAGGTAGAATGAATCATTTCTAACACGTTAACCTTTTCATAACCCTGTCCATTAGATGCTTCTGATGTCTCTGAACTGAGCCCAGGTCTTGCCATTTAAACACATCTTTCAGACCACAACACTTTATCCAATATGATGGCTCAAATCAGGCATCTATTCAGTTATTTATTTCTCATATATATCCTTATTTCTTCTTCCAAAAGTGCTATGCAATGCCTCAGAAAAGCTTGTGCATGTCAGTTCCTGGAAGAGATATGATTTTTTGCAAGCAGCAAAATCCAAACAGAGCCAACAAGCTCCACCGTGCCCCTCCTCTGCATTTTTGTGAAAGCACCTTAAAAACACATTGCAAAGCAAGTGCACTTCTCAGGTTGTTAGCACAACCCAGCTGCAAATTGAGGAGCAAATTTCTTACCATTAATATTCAGGCTTTGTGCAACTTTGAGTCTTGAGTTCTAAAAGGTCATATCTCAGCAAAAGGTAGGAAAAATTTTATTTCCACGGGATTTTCTTTAGAATAACTAACTATCAACTCTCCAATGAAGAATTCAACTCTTATATGTTATGGCAATAGTTTTTCTATTAGAGAACTATTTTTTTTCATTTTTTGTGTGTTCAGAATCTGCTGTTAATGACTCCATTTTCTGTGCATCCCCTCCAGCACGTGGTGGTGGTAGTTCTTCTTCTGGAATAAACTGAACAGGCCAGCATCTTCTTTGTTGGCTTGCTCCATTGTCCTTACTCACCTTTCCAATTTGCTGGAGATCCTTGACAATTATTTTTTCAGTATCTTCTAGTACCGTTGTCAATAAATTAAACAGCAGAGCAATCCAGGCAAGGCCAAAAAGAATCCAAATGGCCACCAGCACTCGATAGTAGGAAAAGTAATTCCTGCCAGACTGTTTGCCTGAAGATAAAGGGAGAGAAAGAAGAAGAAAATTAACAAGTTAAAATTCCCTTGCCAAAGTAAAGTGGAACAGTTTAATGAATTCATCAATATATTTTACGCTGAGAACTTCAGGGTGACTTTTTCATTGTAATGGAGACTCTCACCTCTCCAGCATTTGATTAAGGCTGAGCAATGGTTTATTGTGTTTATTGTTGCAGTAAACTGATATATGCTAGCACAAATATGCTGGCCTGTCAAAAGACACACTGGGATTGAAGTGAATCATTCCATGGTTCTATGATTCTGTGACTGAGGTGAATTAGCATGAGAGCAGGATATTTTTTTCCCCTTATAGCATATCACTCCTGGTTCAACTGCTGCATTTACAGGTAAATGCAATTATGTGGGAAGTAGTGTTAAATTGTACTTATTATCTTGGAAATATTCCCAAACTCCCAAAGCATAAAAAGCAGAGCACAGTGGGTTGCTATAATCACACAACCATTACTACCTGGGTTATTGTAATTCTCTGTATTTCTAGCAGAGTGTGATTACAACCTAGTAAATATTTCCTTTAAATTATAGGTACCTGTATTCATACAAAGAGAGTATTTGCAATTCCTACCTTACTTTTCAATGGTTTCAGGAGCTTCCTCCATTAAAAAAACTAGGTGACTGATGAGAATTCATTGACACATGCCAAGAACACAACCTTCTGCACTGGAAACCAGTGAACCAAAGCTCATTTCATGCAGTCCAACCCTCTTAGCATCAGCCAGTATCTCACACTCGCTGTTCTGTGTGGGTCGTTTAGTCTGATCTTTCATACAATCTACCCCCAACACACAACAAAGCATTTGCTCCTATTGAACTTGGTCCCACACAACATTATCACCATGATACAGATGATGTGGCACTGGCATCTGCAGGAAAACTTGGTGATATTGCTTATTGAGTGCTCCAAGTCACTGCCAGGGGGGACTCCACATAGTTGATAACACAGCCATGTCTATGGACAGGGAGATCACCACAAACCTGGTGGATCACTTCCCTTTGAGAACCTGCATGGAAGGAGTCAGGATGCTGGCAACTCCTGTCAAATCCTGCAGTGCTCTGAACTGCACAGGTCAATGTGCAAGATTTTTGTTCTTCGTCATGCAGGAGCTCTGGAAATGGGGTAGGACTGGGCAGGTCTGTCCTCATGGATAGATATCCAACAGCTGTTTCTTTTCCTTCTGCTGGAGTTGAGTTGGCAGAGACATTCTCAGCCTTGGTACAAAGCGTCTCCTTGTGCTCTTATCCGAAGTTCAAGATGTGGGGTTAGCAAAGCAACTGGCAACATCTTTATAATGTTAACTCAAAACTGGACTTGAGCAGGGCACATATTTGGTTAACAGCCCACAGGGAGTTTCACCCTAGAGGTATCACCTATATGCACATATATTCCAAACAGTTAAATCCAGGCTCTGCCACCTTCCTAGTGTGTCTCCCTACCCAAAACAGGCTTAGCTACAAAACAGTTTTGAATTACTAAAATGCAAATAAACTCAAACCTGTTCTGTTCCACTTGGCCAGCACAAAACCACTTGTCATCTGTAAGCAATGCCTGACACTCAGAGCAGTCACTGATTCTGCTTGCCTCACTGTAAAGATGTGAAGCATTAAACCTATCACTATTTTATTACTGTTGTTAAGGCAAATTAAGATAAATACTGGCAGGGAAAAATATTTCAGCTCCAGTTAAGTCATCCTAATGAAGGTGAAATCATAAAGCCGGGAGGCCAATCTAATTGTTATTTTTAAATAACAATTTAAAAAATTAAAATACAATTAATTGCATTTGTAAAGTAATATGGCTGCAGAGGAGGAAAGTGCTGTAGAGGTTGTGGTGGATTTCTGTCCCTCAGAAAGGAACATGAGGCTTCCAGATTCTTTGTAGGGACAGCACAGCATTAGCTACACAGCTTCCTTTGCATATCCCCACTGAGAAGAAGTTCAGGCTGGCAAGATGCTGGCAGGACAGGTGATTCTAGAGAAATCTTTGATTCTCCATGGAGTCCAGGTGTTTGCTTGCTTCTTCTGTGGACACTGATTTGGCTCCTGCTGAACATTTTGGACTTCCTCTGGAAATTCCTCGGAGAGTGTATTTTGGTCAGCAGATCCACAGAAGCGTTTTGAGAAGCATTCTGGAATGCTTGAATGTATCTTAAACAGTTTTTCTTCAGGGAAAGTCCTAAGCTCTGGTTTGTGAAGACAGAGAACCTTCAGAGATGCTCAGGAGATCAAAGGAGGCCACTTTTGCAGTGATACATATCTTTAGGCCAACTTCTCAAAGAGTGAGTAGATTTCTTCGCTTTCCCATGACTGGGATTTCCACCTCTCTGTCTGTTGTGTAAAATCATGTATTCTGAAACATGATCACTTACTTCTTTACTCTACACTTTGAAACATAAGTCTTAGATAGCTAAAGCAGTGATATGTGCTTTGTTTTGTATTACTGTCTCTAACTGTTCCCTTTTGGTGTGTACAAATTGCCAAGCTCATTGAATTCTCCCCTTACACTTCTCTTTTCCTCACCAAAATACTTGTCTTCTTTGCATCCCAAAGCACCTCATTTCATTATATTTGTCAGCACATAAAATCCCTGAGAAAAGAGTATTTCCCCCAGAACTGTATAAGGCAAAGACTAGTCAAAGACTCCTGTTGACAGATTTGTCTCTACAGCACACTGGTGGCCTGTGCAGTCAACCCATGGGAATTACAGTCATAAACCTGCTGTTTTGATGTGTCTCCTCTCTGCAGTCAACCTTACCTACTACATAATCTCCAAAGCCAATGGTGCTGAGGGTGATAAATGCAAAGTAAATTCCTTCGCTGTAGGACCAGCCCTCTGTTATCTGGAAGAAGACTGATGGCAAGCACAGAAAAACTAGGATCCCCGTTGCCAGGAAGAACAAAAGGGTCAGAAATTTGATCTTCTTCTGAAAAATAAACCAGTTCAATTATAATCATGATTTGACACGCTAGTAGGCCATATATAGTGGTGGCTGTTCAAAGTGGGTGGCTATCTAGGACCACAGGGACGGAAGGATTTCTACTGAGTGCTTTTCCTCTGGAAGCACCCCAGCCTGGCTTGGGAGCAGGGGGAAGCCATGTATTATGGGTGTTGCATGTCCACAGTAGCCCTGGAAGATGCAGTCTTTTATGTGATTGTATCAATGACCACGAGTATAGGAGGAATTCCTATCCAATGACTTTTTCTGGAGTCAGACTATTTCCACTTATCACTAGACTACATCATTTTAAATTTTTAGGTATTCAGGGTTACCACCTAAAGACATTTAAATCTGCCTGGGAAAACGGACTTTTTTACAAAAAATATTTGCACCATTTCTGACAGTATTATCTTCAAGAGTCTTGATTATTGACTTTATTTCTCATTGCATCAGTGCCACAACTTTTCTCCTACCCAGTGAATATCTTACTACAAGAAAACCTTTAACTAATGAGGTCCTGATAAAGAAGTGCCTGGACAGTGACTTTTGAACCATTCTACTTCCCAGCAGTCATGAAGAAGCCTTGACTGGAGAAAAAGACTTGTTATATGTTAAGATTTATCAGCCAGACATGCATATATTTCATGTATAGATTTTTATTAGTCCAGATTGCCTGAAAATCAATGGCAACTGTTGGATAATTTTCCATGTCCTCATGCATTGTGCACTTGCTTGTGTCTCTATCTGAGCAAGCCCTAATTTCTATTTAAGTTTGTCAGATATGGCAAGAAATTCAGCAATCTGAACAGGGTTATCTGTAGCATTCATACCTTATCCTGAAAGAGAACAGTAGGAGACACAGAAAACCTATTCTTACTTCCTCAGCAGTGGTGAGAGAAAGGGAGGAGCTGCAAATAACTTGGGACATACACCACACAAGACACATCCTGTCTCTAGCCCTTTACAGGTGTCTCCTCACCTTTCAGCAGCTGGGCTCAAATGAACAACTTCGGTGTGATGCTTCCTTATTGCCAAAGTCAAGGGTGGAGAGGGAGTAAAGGACTGTGTAATGAGTTAGGAGCAGTGACACGCTATTCATTGAGTCAATATTCATTAAAACCTCTGCAGCTCACCTACTTTTAACAGCTTTTCACAGCTCACCTGCTTTTTGCTGCCTCACGATGAGATGTTTAATCATCTTTACTGTTTATAAAGGGAGGCATGTGCTTCCCTAGAGTGTTAGGTCCCGAGGTAAGTGTCTGGAGAAGTGGGATGGGATGCCCACTCTCTCCACTGATTTCTGAAGGGGGCTGGATGTCTGCATTTAGATGGGAAGATAAAATGCATCCCTTTCTCTGAATATCTCTACAGTTGCCATGTCTGCTTAGCTCCGTGAGTGAAGAATTTGTCTCTCCCTCTCCCAGCACGTCTAACATAGCATGAGAACAGATAAATTAGAGAATAAGGCAGCATAAAACTTGAAAAAAACTAGAATTGAGCATATAACTGTGCCTGAGTAAGTAGAAACAATTACCTTTCTCATTCCTTTCTCGTACAGGAATTTCCCCAGCTTTTTACACAGCAGTGAGAGCATCTTACCAACACGGTGCAGAAAAACAATGTTGAGAGGGATTCCAAACAGAGCAAAAAACACGCAGAAGATCTGTCCCCCAACAGTTCTAGGATGTAACGTGCCATAGCCTATGAAAAAAAGATTGGTTAGAGAAGATATTCCAGAGTACTGGAGCAGTCCACAGTCACGTTCAACCCTACCCCCAATCCAGCCTGCCTGTGACCCCAAAAGATCTGGTTAGCACTTCTCAGGACATGTGAATTCTTTTCTTCTCTGAAAAAGGCAGTAAGCAGATGAAGTGATTCACCCTGCATGTTTGGGGTGATGCAGAGAGCACTGTGTGTTCCCGACACAGACTTAGTGGGAACAAAAGTTCAGTCTAGAAGCAGTTATGGGTAATGTGCTCTGTCCTGCAACAAATACATGGAAAGACAGAAAACAGAAGTCTGAGGATCTGGAAGACATCAAGGCTGGAGTCCCAGGCTGTTAGAATCACATGCAGCCATTTCTAGCTTCTTGTTGATCTGCCTGTGTGTTAGTGACCTCTCTGGCTAAATCCCAGTAAGCTGGTGTGTCCAGATACTGGCTTCAGTCCCAAGGAGCTCAGTGTGCATTGGAATAGATGGTGCTAATTAGTCCAGATCCCACTGGTGGCTGATGTATTCAAGCCACAGAGATATTTGTCTTAAAGTCCTACTAAAAGAGGATTTATCTCAGTAGTGGAACAACTCCAAACATGTCTTTTAATGATCTGGAGACTCTTAGACACCATGAGGTACATCCTGAGTGCAAGAGTACTGCCCTTTGTGTTTGTCCTTACTCTACCAATGACCCTGGGAAAAGGCATTTCCCAAGCACAGTTCATCTCAAGGCATGCATTACTTGGAAAATGCAATGTTTTCTTTTGGGGGAAAAGACAAATAGAACAGCTGAGTGATTTTTTTTGTCTACAAGATCCCAAATGCATGAGTTGTGTTGTGCTCCTGTTGCAGAAATATTCCATTTTCACGGAAAAAAAAGCTGGTAAAGAGAAGTACCTGACACGCCTTCACAACAGACCTTTGTGGTGAAGGTGCGGAGAAACGGGTACTGGTTTGGCTGGGATAGAGTTAATTTTCTTCCCATCGGCTGGTATGGGGCTGTGCCTTGGATTTGTGCCAGAAACAGTGTTGCTAATTAAGCGATGTTTTGGTTATTGCTGAGCAGGGCTTGCACAGAGTCAAGGCCTTTTCTGCTCTTCACCCCACCCCACCAACGAGGAGGCTGGAAGTAAACAAGGAGCTGGGAGGGGACACAGCCGGGACAGGTGACCCCACCTCACCAGGTGAGGTGGGGTCCAGACCATCTGGTTTAATGCTCAGCATATAAAGCTGGGGGAAGAAGAAGGAAGTGGGACACGTTCAGAGTGATGGCTTTTCCTGTGCCACTCATGGGCAGGCTGGAACTCCAGTGAACCTGAGTTCACAGACAAAGGGAGTGTGGATGGGTCCAGGTGGGAGCAGGGCACCCTGACACATCTGTGCCTCTGGATAAGCCTGTGACAGAGCAGGTCCATCTTAAAAGGCCTGTGGTTATGTCTGTGCCACAGCAGGTACACCTCTAAAGGGATTGTGGCCCAAGAATGAGTCCACACTGCAGCAGGTACACTGGATCATCCGTAGCTGTGGATAAGTCCACGCTGGAGCAGCTCAAAGCATGTGTCCATGGATAAACCCATGGCAGAACAGGCACACCCCTGGAGGGACTGTAGCCAGGTGTAAGGTTATGTTGGAGCAGGTTCACATCTGAAGGGACCGTGGCTGTGGGTAAGGCCACACTGAAGCTGGTACAGCTCTGAAAGCATTGAGGCCCATGGATAAGGCCACGCTGGAGCAGGTACAGCTCTGGAGAGACTGTGGCTCATGGATAAGGCTCCGCTTGGAGCAGGTACAACCCTAAGGGACCGCAGTGGATAAATCCAATCTGGAGCAGAGGCAAAAGGAAGAGTTCATTGCAATGTTAAACCATATGACCTGGCTCAAAGGGACCAGGGTGGAGATTGTAAAGGAAATATATGGTTGTAACCTGGGACCTGAGTTGCATGTTATGGGAATTACTACAGCAGGAGCCACCGGAACCAGTGGAGAAGGCTTGCAAGAAGCAGTGCAAGTGCAGCAGTGACCCAACCTGAGCTGCCTTTGGTGATCAGTAACTCCACCTCACACAGGTCCCCTCCTGTCCTGAGTGACCACCACAACAGATTGAGCCCAAAGTCATGGCCTAAATGAACATTTTGTGGACATCTCTGGACCTTTATGGACATTTTACAGACATTTCACAGGGGTAATCCATAGACAAAGGGGATGATATCTGTGTATTATATCAAAGGATGGGAAGAATGGTGGTGAGTATTGAAAATGTGTTGGATAGTGTGAGACTTGGGCATGATGTAAATGGTACACGAAATGAGGGGTGGGTGTGCTTATTTTGGCTGGGGTGCTTAATTTTCTTCTTTGGATTTGTGCTGAAAACAGTGTTTCTAATTGAGAGATGTTTTAGTTCTTGCTTTGTGGCACTTGCACAGAGCCAAGGACCTTCCTGCCTTTCCTCTACAGCAGGAGATCTCCACATGGGTTCATGCAACACCTAAACACCTGCCCTGATGCTGGGACAACATTTGGGCCTTTGTAATATGTAACACTCATGGATCAGTGGAGCAGCTGTGCTTAGGGTGTAGTGGGAGGGAGGCCTCAGCTTCACTCTGCAAAAACATAGATTTGACTTCCACTTCATGAGAGTGTGAAGCAGGTGCCAACAGTATGGATTTTGTGCTTAAGCTTGGCAGGCCTGCACTTTTTTGGAATGCATATTTGAGAGAAAGGGAGAAGCAGGTAGGAGCAGGCGGGCCCTGAAAAGGTCAGAACAGCTTGAAGCAGCAGCATAAAGGTCTCAGTATTTGCCTTTCACTCTTACCATTTTTTTCCTTCTGGCATATTACTAATTCAATATGTGAATTAACAGCTCGAGACAGGTTATTGAGACAGTACCCATGTCCCAGCAGGGTTCACTTACTTCCTACCATTTTTTTATCCTTTACAGCACTCTCAGATTTAAAGCCTATTTGACCCTGGAGTAAAGACCAGGAAAGTGATCTCCCACACACAACTGTCAGCAGAGCAAACATTTTAACAGATGGCTTGAAAAGAAGAAACAAGTGGGAAATAATATGAAAGGCTACTGCTATTGGACAAGCCAAAATAATGCACGAAGAGCTGTCCTGTGGTAAGGACTAAGTCCATGGCTGCTTACTGTCAGTGTCAATGAAGGGCTGGAGTTTTTATCCTGGAAAGTATTATCCATTCATGTCCTAATAACCAGAGGTAATAAGCATCATTCACGCGTGAAGCACACACAAATGAAAAGCATCAGACCTACCTATTGTGGAGACAACTGTGCCTGCAAAGAAGAAGGAGTTACTGAAATCCCAGTTGCTCTCTTCAAACCGTGATTCATTTCCAACAGGGTATACTCCATTTTGAATGGCTTCAGTCAGGTTCTGGGAGAGAAGGCAAAGTTTGGTATCATCATGACTGCTTTTCTGCAGTGCATGCTGCAACAATACTGCAGGTATATCCAACTACTGCTCCTTTCCTGTGAGTACCACTCACCTGACTGTGGTGATCCTCTACACTACTCACACCTTCACCTCCAAGGTTGGGTAGCAGTTAGTTGGTGGTTTTCAGTGTTCATCTTCTGCCCCGTTTATGCTGATTGCCTTAGTGGGTGTTATGAGAACTTTTAGTGCTTTTTCTTTCAGTGGGATCAAGGACCTTGATTCTTTTAGTCTGAATACTTTGGAAAAAAAATGATCCTATAGATGGCTAGGATGTGGCAGAGCTAGACTAAGGGATGGGATGGCTGGTTGCTAGATTTGGATTCACCCTTGAGGTGGCACTGGTGGATCCAGGATCTGATCACCCACCTGTGCACAGGCACACTGAGCAGTGACTCTGATCTGTGCCATGGGTGCATCGGGGAGTTGTGGCAGGGCACACATGACATACACCCAGAATTTAATTTTAGGACTGTATTCTGGTTAGTGTCACAGAATTACCTTCAAAGAAAGTCCACTGATTTGCAAAGCTGGACATATACACTCTTCTCCAAACTGCATGCATGAACACACATGCACATATTTACAAAGTGGCCTTTGAGATGAGGTTAGAGGAACATCTGTCAGAGATGGTTTGGAGTGAGTTGAGACTGCCCTGCCATAAGGGGCTTGACTATCCAAGCCTCTCAAGCCCTGTCATCTATCACTTTAAGCATTTTCAGACTCTTCTCTCCCTTTGTTTTAATTCTAAGTGCTGTTAATTTATTTAAGTTAAAAAAAATAATAATTAAAATAATTAAAATTGCCTTTAGCAAACAGAGAAGATCGGACTGGACATCTGGAAGGCAGGCTGGTTTGTACAGAAACAACTGAGATAAAATCCAAGACAGAGCCCTGCCAGAGGCAAGACACAAGCTGGAATAAATTGCACCAGCAAAGTCTTCCTCCCTGCTTCCTCCCTCACTATCCGTTTTGCTGGTGTTACAGAAAATCAGGGCTAACAAAAATCATTCCGTAGCCCTTGCACAAAGATTTCTTTGTCTTGAAAAGCTCATCTTTTTTTTTACTCCCCTACCCATAAAAACCAATCAAGGTGAAGACAGTGCATGTGTAGGTGAAAAGGGGGCTGAATTGCTTGTTGTGTTATTAGAAATACCAGTTCTTCCCCACCTTTCATTATTTTGCAAACAAGCCCATTAAGAGCTCCATTCCTTTCCCATGTGGAAATGCTTCCACGCAGGGCCTTCACTCCTCATTTTCTCTACCTTGGAGCAGATAGAGCTAGGAAATACTGATGATGGAGAGACAACTGTACTTCTCAGCTCCCTGTGCTGTGATCAGAAACACTTTCCCTCTGACCAGACTACTTGTTTCACTTCTATACCATCTTCAGAAAGTAAGCCCTGACCATGCCACTCTCCTGGTAGTAATTTGGGCTTCTTTCCCCCCTCCCCCCCCCCATTCAGACCTTGCCTTATTGTTCCTTGGTGCTACCAGTGACACTGTTGTAAGTGGAAGCCACAGCCATTCATTTCAGACAGCCTTATTTTTCCTGCCATTCCACCCATTGTGTATGAGCACAGCCACACTGAGAGCAGAATCAACAGGAGGCAAGAACCCCCCACACCAAAAAAAAGGACATTGCAGGATGGGGACTGTTAATAGCTACCACACACAAGGTTTTGTCCAGCTACACGAGCTGTATTTACCTTCAGAGTGACCCTCTCAGACGGGAGAGGGGTTTGCTAAAAGCATCCAAGTGACCGCATCAGGAGAGCAGTGAAAGTCAACCTGTGTAGCAAGGCTGAGCAGGAAACAACACCTAATGAGGAAAGAGCAGGGAGAAAGGACTTCCACAGGGCTCCACTTACCTTCATGAACTGCTCCATCTCCACCACCGTGAGCTGCCTGAAGCTCTGCAGAAAAGCCTCCTTCATCTGGGCAGCTGCCATTTTCTCCTGCTTCTCCGCGGTCCTCTCCAGTGCCTGGAACACCGCGGCACCCACCAGCAGGTACACAAAGTAGCCAGCCACCAGCAGACCTGTCTGCAGCTTGCCTCTGCACATGGCCTTCAGTGGGACACAGAGAGGGATGAGGGAGTGAAAGGCGGTGATGAGTAAATCCCTTGCACTCCTGGGAAGGCCTCCCCCCCGGGCAGGAAGAGCCCTCCCAGCTCTGGCTTCCGCTGGGATCCTGTGCTGGCAGGGACAGCGAGCTGCCAAATACATTCATTGGGAAGTTGGGTAAAAAAAAAAACCAAAACACAACGAACCCAAGAAAAAACTTTCCACTCTCTGGGCTGCATGCTGTTTAGGGATTTCCTCTTGTCTGTGAAACTCTCCCTTGCTGATTTCTCAGGAAAAGTGGGTCAGGATGCGAGGAGCTGGCTGGTGGCCATCTCCTGCTCAAGAGACTCTGGGGACAGGTGAGGATAGTCTGTAAATGGTCCACAGGGGAGTTTGCTTGAAAAAACATGATTTATGCTTCTTGTGTCTCCTGCTGAGTCCAGGAACTGGACTCCAGGGCAAGCCTCGATGATCCCAGAAGCCACTTCTTGCCCTGTGTTCAAGGGCAGCTTCAGGGAAATGCAGCTGGACTGTTCTTGTCCACTTGGACTTACTTGGACTTACTTGTCCACTTCTAAGTGTCAGAGCTTGTTCCCATCAGAACTTGGGTGCCATTGAGAAGAATTTGTAGGGTGGCAGAGGGAAGTCCTTGAATGAAGATATTGACTTGGGAACAGATAGCAGACAGATCTGAGCTTGGCTGCACCATGGACATTGTTAACCCTCAGATTAACTTTCTTGACTTTAGATTTTCCAGAATTTTCATTTGCTTTGTGCACGATTTCTGTTATTTCAGCAGATGCTCTACTTTAATAATGAGAAAACACTGTAGCAAATGTTCCATATAATCTTCTCTTCAAGTCTTTGTGTTTTTATTGAGTTCAAAAATACCAGAAAAGGCAGAGGCTCTGGGATTAGTTTTGCAGAACTGGTGTAACCAAGAAGCAGCACATAGCTTCACTCTGTCAAGTGCAGGTTGTCCTTTCACACATAAATCTGTTTGACCTCAGAGGAAAACAGGAAGACTATGAATGAAGGTAAGTATCTTTCCAAACCCTTAAACTTTTAAAGACTTTCCTTAGAGTTACTGGAAAAGGGTTTGTAGAAACAGGATGTGTCGTTTTTCCTTTCACTTCTTTTGAAGTTACGACAAAGGTGTGCTTCTTGCTCAGATTTAAATTATTTCTATAAAAATAAAGGCACCTATGGTTCACCATTTTGTGTCTCTCAGACTCCCAGTCCTGTGAGATAAGAGAACTCCCTTCACATATACAAATGCACCATTTCTTCATCTGCACAACAGACATGAAGATAATACAAGTGGGTTATTTCCTCAGTTCATCTGAAGGGAAAATGGATGAAAAAGCCATGAAAGTTATGGAAGATTGTGAGAATTTGATATTGATTGCAGTTGTAGTGGTTCGGTCAGGTGAGTAAGTGCCAAGAAACCTCACCTTTTTCATGCTCTCTCCTCTGAACTGTATACTAAGCTGGATTTCCCTCTAGTCCCATCTCCAAGATAGCAGGTTTGCTATTTGTGCATGCGTCTTCAGGAGCCCTTGACTGCCAGGAAGATTGGTGACCTTTGTTTTTCTGTAGCTCTAGAACAGGCAATACACATCACCTTATTCCAGTCTGTGTCTTCGTATGAAGAATCTTCAATAACCTGCCTGCGAATCTGCAAAAACCACTACAGATTGTTCTGATGTGAGAGGTGTGTCCCATTACACAGCATCTTGTTCATACTTGGGTTGACACTTGCACAGGGAAAGAGGGAGGGAAAGAGGGAGGGAAAGCACAGTTCATTACTGTTGCTTTGGAGAAGACAAAGAAGAGGGAACTCATGTTCACTCAGTGGAATTCTTCACCTGAAGCCATTCCTCATAAAAGGAAGAATAACTTCTGTTAGTGGTGACTGCTCTTCTCCTTACTTTGCCTAGATTAAAAACTCTTGGTGGAGGCTGCAAGAGCTGTGCCACTTATAGTTATTGAATGTCACTGGGCTGAGACAGTGCACCATCATCCATCCCACCCCAGGGGTCTGGATACTGGGTTAGCCTGACACCATTCACCCCAGTTATGGAAACTGAGCACTTTCCAAGTGCTGGGAGCTGCTGTAGGTACAACATCCTCATCTGAGGGCTGATGTTGGCACCTTGCACCTGCTTCATAAGCAGAGTGATAACTTGTTTAGAGAGCTGGGAAGGTAAATGGGGAGAGTGTATCTGGTGAACCAGCCACCATTACCTTTCTGCACTGTGAGATCATGAATACATCCCACCTAGATGCAAGTTATCAAAGAAATCATAAAAGTCATAGAATAGTTTGGGTTGGAAGGGACCTTAAAGATCATCTAGTTCCAAACCCCCTACTCTGGGCAGGGGGGCCACCGACTACATCAGGTGGATCCATGCTCAGGGCCCCGTCCAACCAGGCCTTGAACACTGCCAGGGAAGTTAGTACAACCCTACTAGTTAATCAAAACAAATCACTGGTGGGAGCAGCTTTTATCTTATGTTCCCCAATACCTCGGGCCATGTGGGCCGACAGGCCTATTCAATGGCACTTGTTTCTCAAGGAGCTGAAGAAGTGGATGTAAGGCCTAATCACTGTGACTTTTAGTTGTGGGAAACCAACAAATCCAGCTACCAATTGGAACACTTTTCCACAACCCATAAATTGACAGGAGGACTTCTGCTGGCCCAGTTCCCTTGGGAGTGCCTCACTGCCACCTGTCCTGTAGCTTGTAGTTACAGCAACAACAGGACCTTTTGGGCTGCCTGATGCTGTGGTGGGTTGGGGTGTAGTTTCCTGGCAAGGACTGCCATGGCAGCAGGATGTGGCTGTCATGGTCCTGCAAACCCTTGTGCCCAGGTGCAGTGAGGGCTGGCAGCTCCCTCAGGCCCGGGAGCTGGGAGCTGAGTGTGCTGACACCACAGTCTGTCTGTCCCACTGTCCCCATCCACGGAGCAGGGCAGGCCTGGACACCCTCAGCAGGTTCAATCACCCCTGCAGGGTGATCATGGGTCATGTTCATGGTGATGAGACAGGATGAGTTCAGGCTGGGAAGTCATCTTGTAGCTCAGAGTCACGTGCAGGGATGGCCAGGCAGGGCTTAGGGAGTGAACCAGGTAGGGCTGTTGTTCTGCTGGTGGGCTTGGCTCACTGGGGCCATGGCCGGGCTGGGAAAGGCTGGGGGAAGGTGGAAATGGACAACCTGCAGTGATGCTGGAACAGGGACTGATAGCTCTGGTGTGGGCTGGAGGTGAATCCTGGGCCATGGAGGGTGGAAGGGAAGCTCTGGGGGCTGGGTCATGGCCTTGGCAATCATGGATGCCGTGTGGCTAGTAAGGCAGTTAATCAATACTTTTTGTTCCTGAGCTAGGAGAGATCCATGGCACAGTTAATGGACAAGGGAAGGATAATAAAATCCTCTAGCTCTGCATTTTTAGTCTTAGAAATCCAGACATTACTTTTTTCACAGTGCTGAGGGGTGTGTGTGACTGACAGAATCCCAGCCTCCACACAGACCCTGATGCAACCCTTTTTCACCTATATATACACTTTTAGCAAACAAAGAAATAATGTTCATTGGTTCTAAACTATACAATTCCCTTTCATTAATTAGTCTTCTATCCTCTATTGGTTATTAATTTCTCACTGTTCATGGTAATTAGGTTCATATTTTTAGTATCTTTTTCCCTCGGTAGGGATTTTCCAACATATATACTGAGTTTTTGTTAGCCTCTCCTTTATCTTCTGGTTTCTGCAGAATGTCCATGTGGTCCATAAATTCTGCACTCCTTGTATCCAATTTCAAAAATACATCTCTCTCTTCCCAGGCTTTGCTCATTAAAGCCTATCAAGGTTAGTTTATCAAAAGCTAAAGTTTCAGTAATTTCCCCAATTTTCTCACAATGTCAGTTTATGTTAAATTCTGCTGAATGCCAGCTAAATTTTAAGGCCACACACACTACTTATTAACAACTAATTAAAAGGTTAACTAAAACCATTAAAAAATTGGAAAAGTTATATCAATTCCAATAATTCCACATGCACTATTTACCCAGTCCATTGCAGGGAAACCCACGTAGTGAGATCCGGTGGTAATGGAGGGCAGGGAGCATTTCCTGCCTGTGACATGATGTGCTGGGACAGAGTTTTCTTACACTCAGTCCTGCTCTCACTCCTTTACACTCCAATTATACCCATGGTTTGGCCATTTCCTTTTTCTACATATGGCATTAGCTATCTTGCTGCATCCTTAAGCATTCTGTGTCCTTAAGCAGCTTACAGCCTGAAATTAATTCCAGTTTAATGGAAAATGTTATCAGTTTCCATGGAAATGACTTACCATGTGATCGTGGTTGTACTTCCTGTTGTGCTTAGGGCTAAAACCATTAGATGATCTGTATTTTTTACACTTTCTTGCAGTTCTCCTATAAATACCTATTACTCATAACTGGTCAGAACATTCAGTCTTCAAATGTGGAATTTTGGTTTTTATACTGTGATCTTATGCCAGACTATTAAACACTTAGACTAAAGCAGTATTCAACAGAGATCCTTATACTTCCTTTTTATTATTTTAGGTCTGCAAAGCCAAATTCCTGCAGATAACTATCTGCTGTCAAGGAAATGGGCTGATATCCATGAGTGAAGAAAAATCTTGAAGCTGGTCACTTGCCTTTGCTAGTTGGCTGATACTGAGATAAGAGCTCTGGTGTTCAGGAGGTAAGGGCTGCTGTGCCAGACAGCCCAGCGTGGAGAACTACCCAAGTGATCTGTGAGTCCTGGCCCACAGCGCTGGCCAGAGTGATCAGCTGAGCACAGGAAGAAGGGAGGGTTATAGTAAAGATATTTTAAGATTTGGGTTTATTTTTCATTATCCCACTCTGATTTGTTTGGTAGAAAATTAAATATGTTTCCCCAAGTTGAGCCAGAGTGATCTCCCTGTCCTTGTCTCAACCCACAAGTCTTTGGTCCTGATTTTCTCTCCCTGTCCAACCAAGGTCAACACACCACAAGCACTGAGTACTAGTGCCTGCATTCCTCACTAAAGTGAGGCACAGACACTCAACAGAGGAAGCATTTGCTCAAATACACTATTTATTGGCATTTTTGCACTGAGTGAAGCTCCCAGAGAGGCTGGACTCCCTCAAAAAGGGTGTGCAGTCAGTGTAGAGGTTGTAATGGGAGTCTCTGGTTCCAGGCTCTTTGCCATGGACTCTTTAGCTGCCTTGGCTCTGACTTCCAGAGGAAATGTGTTTGCTGTAGAGGAAATGTTCGGCAGAAATTACCACAGCTGATAGAGCACTGTCTTCTCCATGTCCTGCACGCTATGGCCTGAGGCACCTGCTCCCCAGGGAGTCGAGGGTGGGTGGATACTCCTCCCAAACAATAGAGAAGGTAGAGAGGCCCTGCAGCAGTACTTCTCACTTAGACCCACCACAACCAGATCATCCATTCTAGAGAGAATTGTGCCAGCAGAAGAGCTTCTCAAGCTACAACTATAACCCATCTAAAAGCTTCTGATGGAAGCCACACCTTTAGTCTTTCAGCTACTTGACCTCCCAGTTCGGTCTGTATTTTGTGGATGTCACCAATTTGGTTGCCTGAGGCCATTATAAGTCGATGAGCTGGGGTGGGGACAAAGGGCGAGGCTAGCCTGGCTGTGATGTGATGTGGCTCTTGTGACATCACAGGCATTGTGTCACAGTGGGGGCAGCTAGAGATGGCCCCAGCAGGTAACGTTGCCCCAGTCGAGCCTGGACAAGTGGTGAGTGCACACGCAGGGGCGAGGCTGCGCTGGGCGAGGACCGGGGCCGAAACGCTGCCCCTGGGGCTGGGTTCTCCCTCTGCATCCAGGGCCAATCCCTCACCAGAACACCTGGGGCACCAAATGGTGCTGCTGCTCCTGGGGCAGTGGGACAGGCCTTGCTGCCTGCCAGCTGCCCTGGACCCTGTCCTTCCTGCTCCACATCCCCGCTGCTCCCATTTGTACTCCCCTCCCCTCTCGCTCCTTCCCTCCCTTTCAGCCCCACTCAACCCCTTCTCTCTCTCCTCCTGCAGGCCATGGCGGCAAAAATGTTTCTTCTCGTGCTTTTGCAAGCCCTCATCCAGTACCCACAGATGGTGGGTGATGGGCTGGATGAGGTCACCCGTCTGCACATGGAGCTGCGTGAAAATCTCCTGGACAGAGAGATGACTCGGCTGCTGCAGGAGCTGGAGCAGAGCAGCCTGGAGCGCAGTGTCAGGGCCTGGGGAGCCCTGCTCTGGGCTGCCTTGCAACAGGGGGACTTCTGGGCTCTGGCTGGAGTCCTGGGCCTCCTCTTGTGGCTGTGGTTTGTCTACCGGAGAAGGAGCCACGAGCCAGAAAACGATGGCCGGGAGGAGGGGGCAGGAGATGATGATGGTGGTGGAAATGAAGGGGAAGAAAACCGTGATGCAATTGGGCAGGAAGTCAACAACGATGATGCAAATGAAGGAGAAGACCATGATGTTGAAAATGAAGGAGAAGAAGATGATGTTATTGCCCACAACCTGAGATGGCTTTTAGAGGAGCACATACAGTGGTCTGTTCAGGACCTGGAGGAAGGCAGTGAGATGACAACTTTCCTGATGGACAGCTTTGTGATTATCATTAGAGAGATCTTGTCAAACAGTTCATACCCAGTGCCGCAACGAGCCATTGGGGTGGGCAGTGCCTTTGAAGGCTGGAGTCCCCGGGAGGAGGATGTGGTGTACACTGTCCTTGTACCTCTCAATCCTCCCCCGGGGCACAACTTCCATCTGGAGATGGACACTTCAGGGCACATACCCGGCAGGAACTTCTTCATCCGCGTGGAGCCGGTGTGCACCTGCCCAAGGGAGCAGCAGGATGACAACGTGCTGTGCTCCCTCCACCACCACCCAGAGGATGAGCAGAGGAGGAACGAGGAGCCCAACTTCCTAAACACCCTCTGCACTGGCTCCTACCTGGATGTGGAGAAAACTGCCCGCTGGTTCTACCAGTTGGTGAGAGCGGCCTGGCCGGCTTTGCCTCAGTCACACAGTTGGCAAATAGTGCTGCTGCCCTCCAACCGCTGCTGCAAATTCAAGGTGACCAGAGGCAGAGAGAGCCTGACGGTTGAGTTGCTCTTTGGAGTGCAAGAAGGCAATTCAGACATCTATGTGAGCAGCCAGCCTACAGAGGCCCTCTTCACCCCAAGCACAGTGTGGCCTGAGACCTACGCCGTGGCAGAGATGAAGTTCTTCAGGCTCATTGCCCGGCAGGCTCCACCTAACAGCTGGCACCTCAAGTGCCTGCAGCTCTTGGCCCGAGCTCTTCTGGGGATAGGCTTCTCCACCTATACCCTGAAGACAATTGTGATGCACCTCCTGAACACCGTACCTCTGTCAGGCTGGCGCATGACGCATTTCTTGCAGCGGCTGGAGGATACCATGGAGTACCTGCACGGTTCCCTGGAGGAGAAACGCCTTGACCACTTTGTTGTGGGGAACCGGACGTTTCCTCAAGAGATTCTCTTGCCCCCTGATGTCAAAACCACCGAGCCACCCAACCTCTTCCATCGCCTGGCACAGGATCCGGCCGCCCACACGCAGGCGATGAACGAGTACTGTGAACTGGGACATCGACTCGCAAGAATGCTGCACGACGGCCGTTGAAAGAAGTCTTCCTGCACACAGCTGTGCTTGGGGGACTCACAGCTGGTCAAGGACAAGCACCTCCTACCGCAAGGAAAAAAGTCAGGAGCATGTGGGACAGAGAGAGGGAAAGGAAAGCGCTTTGCAGCAGCGCTCTGCCATCAGCATTCCCCTCTGCCCAGCACAGCCTGCAGTGATGGCCAGGGGGGCTACAAAGATGACTTTCATCCTCCGTTCCCCTCACACTCTCACGGCCATTGTGGCCATTTTGGATGGGCCCAGGAATTCTTTCTGGTACCTCCAGCTGCTCAGGGATCAAGTGATAGGCATTGCCACTATTGCTCCTTGTGTTCATGGTGGCCTGGCTGGAGAATCTGCTCATCCCAAACCATATCTCTCATTGATCCCTGAAGGGCCATCTTTAGGTCAAGGTTGCACTCACCCTGCTGGACCTGACCTGAAACTTTTTAGATATAAATTTAAAAGTTTTTCTTTAGAATATGCATATTTAAAACTAATAGGCCATAGAGATATTTACTATAGCGCATAGATATAAAATTTATTGAATATAACATTATTTTTATATAAAAGCATAGCACAAATAAATCTGGTCCCACTTGCCCCCTTAAGGGACACCTTTAGGTCAGCACTGCACGAAGTCTGTCATCCCCAGACACAGTTGGAGCTGACCTTAATCTTTTAATATATAACTACATAATTTTTAATTTAATGCATACTTATATTTTATAGGTAGTTCACTTGATATAATATTAGTATTACATAAATATAGCACCAATAGAACTCCCACTCTTTGTTTCAACACATATTAACAGTCAGTAGTCACTGCATTTAGGACTGGCGATCCAGAAATCGCTTTCCCCTTGCTTCAATAAAGAGTGCTATTCCAGAATCTGGATTGTGCAAGTTTGTGTAGAACTCAACCAGGCCCAGAGGCTTGGGAAATCACACTAGTTGTGAGTCTGTGCTCATGAACAGTCACATTGACCTCAAGCAAACTGAGAGTGTTGAATGGCTTCTCATCCCAAATTAGGCCTCCTGCCACCCGGCCCCTCTGCTCATCAAATCACAGAAGGCTTTGGGCTGGAAGGGACCTTCAAATTCATCTGGTTCCAACCCCTCTGCCATGGGCAGGCAAACCTTCCAGTAGACGAGGTTTCTCCAAGCCCCAGCCCACCAGGCCTTTAACACTCCCAGACCTGTTCTCTGCTCTTCTCCTTCCCTCTCATAGACTGGGCATTTTGCAGCAGGCGCCTCAAGAGAGCAGAGAGATCCCTTCGAAGGGGAGCTCTGTGCAGGGTAGAAACGCAGCCACCAATGGCCTCTGGCTGGAGCCAGAGATTTAGGGATCCCCCTCGGCTCCTGCAGAGGCACAACAAGTGAAGGGCTGGAGAGCTGCTTGCCCTCTGCAGAACGTCCATCTTCCCTTGTCTCTAGTTGCTTCCTCATGGTTTTAAAGCATCCTGAGCAGGGGGAGTGAAAAAGAACCCTTTCCAGACACTTGGTTTGCCCAAATCACCCCCAATGTGGAATAAAGGATGGCAGTTGCCCTCAAAGGACTGGAGGAGTTTCTTTCCTCCCCTCTGGCAGCTCTTCCTTTTGTAGGGGGATCGTTTCTCTTGTGTGGGTTGTGAGATCCTGGATCCCAATCTCACTGAATTATTGCCATGGGTGGGAACCAAGTCCCTGGGAGTGTGTGTGTGCATGTGGGTGTCATGGTTTGAGATAGTCCCAAAATCTAATTCCTTAGCTCCATCCCCCCTCCCACATCTCAACCTAATGTGAGAGAGGTTTTTCCAGACAAAACACACCAGACTCCAAAGTGGGGGAAAGGGAAATATATTACAATGACTGTACAAATAAATACCATATCACATTATACACATGATCATAACTATCTCTACCATGACATATAGTATTTACAATGGATCAGATCTCTTCTCCCCTCCAAATAAAAGTCCAGGAGGGAAAGAAGGACGGATCCCTTCCAGTCTCTGAACAGCAGCATCTTCTGAGGCAGCAGGTTTCTTCTCATCATGCATGCAGCAGCTGTGGCTGGCTTTCCTGCCAGCATCCACGAGGGAGGTATCCAAGCCTCTCTCTCGGCCCCATCGCCTCACAACCGAGGGGTCTTCCGTGGCCTTCGTAACCCCAGACAAGGTCGTTTCACCACGTCATATCACGAAGACACAGGGGGGTCTTCGTGACGGTCTGGTATCTCTTGCAGGGCCTCTGTGCCCTGTCTCTCAGGCTGCCACCGTGGCAGCAGTGCGAGGGGGGGGAAGCCAAGGTCAACTCCCCCTGCATTCCTCTCGGAGCTCTCTAGCTCCTTTCTACAGTGCATGTCGCACTTCAAGGCTCTTTCAAGTAAAAGTCCATCATCTTCCTCCTTCCAGGAGGTCTCAAAGGAGTTTTGGGGATCTGGTATCAGTCTTACCCCCAAGAACTCTGTAGCTCTCAGCTGCTGGCTCTCCTTTCCTCGACTCTCCTTCCAGGAGTCTCCTCTGCAGTGCTGCATGTTGCTTCTGCTGCTTCTTCAGTTCAGGTTCTTATCTCTGGCTCTCTGCCACTGTTTCTCTGGTCAGCGTCAGCTGCTGCTCTGTGCCCATGGAGAAAACATCTCCCGGCATACTACAGGCACCTAGCCCAGCTTTATGCTGTTCCAGGTCCCTGCAGCCCCCAGCCAGGGACTGGGAGGGGGCCAGAGGCCCCAAGGGGCTCAGAGCCCCTACCTCGTGGCTCTACAACATGGCCACCTCTCCTACAACAACCAAACTACAACTCTTCTTTTCCGGTCTGGTTGTGATATGTTTACATTTCTGCAGGAGCGCCCATTGGGCAGAACTTCAAAACTTCCAGGGGTTTCCACCCCTTGGGGTCTACCACTTCTCTTAGCCTCTGGGGAAAACAAGGTTCAAACCACTACAGTGGGGAAGGGCTGGGCCTGGACCTGCAGCTCCCTGCTAAGGCCTGCACATCAGGTCTGTGCTGAGGGAACAGGGCAGAGCTGAAGGCAAGGCCTGCTGCCCATGCAGAGCACAGGCCAGAGCTGAAGGCCCAACACATGCCCGTGTCGAGAGCAGAAGGCTGGAACGGGCCCCGACAGCAGTGGCAACAAAGGCCAGACCCCTCCAGCACAAGGAGGCAGCCGAGCACACCCATGTGCTGCCAGGGGCATTTTGGGGGCACTACTGAACCAGTCCCTCTGGAGGGATGGGCAGTTCCCAAGGACAAAGCTGAAGCACACTGAGGTGTCCAGACTCTGTCAGGGCGGCAAAGCTGAATCCTGCAACCACTGTGGCCCTGCTGGAAATGATATCTCTTTTCATTAACTTGTTAATAATTGTCTTAACTAATAATACACAGTCTGTTGAATCACTTTCTGCTTGCATTCTGCAGCATTTGACATAAGCTGCTCTTGTGGGAGCACAGCTTGGGAAAATACTGAAACTTTCCGTTTTGATGAAGTAACTCTGATAGGGAGAGAAAGGTGTGTTGCTGAAGTTGGAAATTGAGCATGCAGAATTTATGGACCACAAGGATATTTTACAGAAACCAGAAGATAAAGAAGAGACTAACAGAGACTCTCAGTATAGGTAACGGAAAGTCCGTACCAGGGCAAACTCATACTAAAGAGATTAAAAATATGGACTTAATTCGCATAAACTGGGAGGAATTAATGACCAGTAGAGGAGAGATTACTCCTTAATGAAAGGGAATTATGTCATTTAGAACCAATGAACATTTGTTTCTTTCTTTCCTAAAAATTAATAAAGAGGTGAAAAACAGTTGCATTGGAGTCTGTGTAGAGGCCGGGATTCTGTAGGACATGGACACACCCAGGATTGTGAATAAAGTTATGCCTAACTTTCTAACAGGATAAATGCAGTGTTAGAGGGTTTTATTGTGGCATGGATTTTGGAGGATTTTTGGTGACAGGTGTACAAGTCTGATGAGAAGCGTTTGAGAGAACTGGGTGTGTTTAGCATGAGGAGAAAGAAGTTCAGGGGGGACCTAATCGTTCTCTACAACAACCAGAAAGGAAGTGGTAGCCAGGCGGGGGATGGCTTGTTCTCCCAGGGAACAAGCACTGCGACAAGAGGAAAGGGCGTCAAGTTGCGCCAGGGGAGAGATCCATTGGATCCTAGGAAAAATTCCTTCACCAAAAAGCTTATCGAGTTTGGGAACAGAGCACCCAATGAAAAGGCTACCTCCCCACCCTTGGAGGCATTTAAAGGCTCTGTTGATGTGTCATTTGGGGACATGGTTTATTGGTGGAATAGGCAGTGTAAGGTTGGCAGTTGGACAAAAGATCTCCAAGGTCTTCTCCAACCTCCGTGACTCAGAGATTTAACTTCAGCTCAAGCAGTGTGGAGTCAGGGCTTGCACTCCAACACCCTCAAGGGTCCCTTCAAACATGGCTCTTCCATGTGACTGCCAGTGAAGAACAGATGAGAATAAATGCAAAAGAAAGGAGAATGGAAGTTCTTGGAAGAAGATTAACTCCAAGGCAGCCTTAAGCATTACACCAGGGCTACTGGGAGTTCCTGAGCTGGGGTGGGGACAAAGGGCGGGGCTGGCCTGGCTGTGATGTGATGTGGCTCTTGTGACATCACAGGCATTGTGTCACAGTGGGGGCAGCTAGAGATGGCCCCAGCAGGTAACGCTGCCCCAGTCGAGCCTGGACAAGTGGTGAGTGCACACACGCAGGGGCGAGGCTGCGCTGGGCGAGGGTCGGGGCCAAAACGCTGCCCCTGGGGCTGGGTTCTCCCTCTGCATCCAGGGCCAATCCCTCACCAGAACACCTGGGGCACCAAATGGTGCTGCTGCTCCTGGGGCAGTGGGACAGGCCTTGCTGCCTGCCAGCTGCCCTGGGGCCCTGTCCTTCCTGCTCCACATCCCCGCTGCTCCCATTCGTACTCCCCTCCCCTCTCGCTCCTTCCCTCCCTTTCATCCCCGCTCAACCCCTTCTCTCTCTCCTCCTGCAGGCCATGGCTGCGAGAATGTTTCTTCTCGTGTTTTTGCAAACCCTCATCCAGTACCCACAGATGGTGGGTGATAGGCTGGATGAGGACACCCGTCTGCACATGGAGCTGCGTGCAGAACTCCTGGACAGAGAGATGACTCGGCTGCTGCAGGAGCTGGAGCAGAGCAGCCTGGAGCGCAGTGTCAGGGCCTGGGGAGCCCTGCTCTGGGCTGCCTTGCAACAGGGTGACTTCTGGGCTCTGACTGTAGTCCTGGGCCTCCTCTTGTGGCTGTGGTTTGTCTGCCGGAGAAGGAGCCACGAGCCAGACAACAATGGCCAGGAGGAAGAGGAAGACAGAGAAGACCATGAAGATGCCTATGAAGAAGAAGAAGAACTCACTTTTGAGAATGCCCTGAGATGGGTTTTAGTGCACCTGATAAAGTGGCCTGTTCAGGATCTGAAGAGAGGTTGCAAAGACACAACTGTCCTGATGGAAAACTTCACATTTGTCTTTGGACTACTCTTGTCAGACAGTTCATACCCAGTGCCGCAACGAGCCATTGGGGTGGGCAGTGCCTTTGAAGGCTGGAGTCCCCGGGAGGAGGATGTGGTGTACACTGTCCTTGTACCTCTCACTCCTTCCCCAGGGCACACCTTCCATCTGGAGATGGACACTTCAGGGCACATACCCGGCAGGAACTTCTTCATCCGCGTGGAACCGGTGTGCACCTGCCCAAGGGAGCAGCAGGGTGACAACGTGCTGTGCTCCCTCCACCACCCAGAAGAGCAGAGGAGGAACGAGGAGCCCAACTTCCTAAACACCCTCTGCACTGGCTCCTACCTGGATGTGGAGAAAACTGCCCGCTGGTTCTACCAGTTGGTGAGAGCGGCCTGGCCGGCTTTGCCTCAGTCACACAGTTGGCAAATAGTGCTGCTGCCCTCCAGCCGCTGCTGCAAATTCAAGGTGACCAGAGGCAGAAAGAGCCTGACGGTTGAGTTGCTCTTTGGGGTGCAAGTAGGCAATTCAGACATCTACGTGAGCAGCCAGCCTACAGAGGCCCTCTTCACCCCAAGCACAATGTGGCCTGAGACCTACGCCGTGGCAGAGATGAAGTTCTTCAGGCACATTGCCAATCAGGCTCCACGTGACAGCTGGCACCTCAAATGCCTGCAGCTCTTGGCCTGTGCTCTGGTGGGCATAGGCTTCTCCACTTACATGATGAAGACCATTGTGATGCACCTCCTGAACACCATACCTCTGTCAGGCTGGCACATGAGGCATTTCCGGCGGCGGCTGGAGGATACCATGGAGTACCTGCGTGGCTCCCTGGAGGAGAAACGCCTTGACCACTTTGTTGTGGGCAACCAGACATTTCCTCAAGAGATTCTCTTACCCACGGATGTCAAAACGGCCGAGCCACCCAACCTCTTCCATCGCCTGGCACAGGATCCGGCCGCCCACACGCAGGCCATGAGGGAGTACCAAGAACTTTGGGGTCGGATCGAAAGAATTGTCCTCTACGGCCAGTGAAAGAGGTCTTCACATAGAAAGTTGTGCTTGTGGGGCTCACAGCTGGTCCAAGACAACCACCTCATGCCACAAGGAAAAAGAGAGGAGGACATGGGACAGAGAGAACAAAGAGAAAACCCTGTTCAGCAGCACTCTGCCATCAGCATTCCCCTCTCTGCCCAGCACAGCCTCCAGTGATGACCTGGGGGACTAAAAAGATGACTTTCATCCTCCTTGCTCCTCACACTCTCATGGCCATTGTGGCCATTGTAGATGAGCCCAGGAACTCTTTCTGGTGCCTATAACATGTGGTTGTTCCATCACTTTGGAGGGGCCAAAAATTACCATATAAATGCAGTGGGGATGTGGGACAGAAAAAGAAAGACCAAAAAAAAGAGCAGAAAAGGCAGAGGGGGAAAAGCAGCTCTGCTTGCTCGGGATCAGTCAGCAGACTGTATCTCTCCTTGTCCCCTGAACAGACATCTCTAGGTCAGCATTGCACACACTGTGTGGGACCTGACCTGAAATTTTTTAAATATAACTTTAGAAAGTTTTATTTCATATATATATTTTAGCTAATATTACATATATCTCTTGATATTTATTATAGCACATAGATAATTAACTTGATAGAATAACACTTTTATATATTAATATAGCATTAATAAATCACTCACAGTCTTTCCGCATGTCCCCTTAAGGGACACCTTTAGGTCAGCCTTGCACCAAGACTGTCATCCCTTGACTCTGTTGGAGCTGACCTTAATTTTTTAATATATAAATACATAAGTTTATAAATTTTTAGATATAGAGATAATATATACTGTAGGCCATTTATTTGATATAATATTATTAGTTCATAAGTATAGCACCAATTCATCTGTCCCAGCACATTTTAATGCCCTGTAGTCACTGCATTTAGGACTGGAATCCAACAACTGCTTACTCCTTGCTTCAATAAAGATTGCTATTCTAGAATCTGGATCGTGCAAGTTTGTGTAGAACTCAGCCAGGCCTAGAGCCTTGGTAAATCACACTAGTTGTGAGTCTGTGCTCATGAACAGTCACATTGACCTCAAGCAAACTGAGAGTGCTGAATGGTTTCTCATCCCAAATTAGGCCTCCTGCCACCCGGCCCCTCTGCTCATCGAATCACAGAATGCTTTGGGCTGGAAGGGACCTTCAAATTCATCTGGTTCCAACCCCCCTGCCATGGGCAGGCACACCTTCCAATAGACGAGGTTTCTCCAGGCCCCAGCCCACCAGGCCTTTAACACTCCCAGACCTGTTCTCTGCTCTTCTCCTTCCCTCTCATAGACTGGGCATTTTGCAGCAGGCGCCTCAAGAGAGCAGAGAGATCCCTTCGAAGGGGAGCTCTGTGCAGGGTAGAAACGCAGCCACCAATGGCCTCTGGCTGGAGCCAGAGATTTAGGGATCCCCCTCGGCTCCTGCAGAGGCACAACAAGTGAAGGGCTGGAGAGCTGCTTGCCCTCTGCAGAACGTCCATCTTCCCTTGTCTCTAGTTGCTTCCTCATGGTTTTAAAGCAACCTGAGCAGGGGGAGTGAAAAAGAACCCTTTCCAGACGCTTGGCTGGCCCAAATCACCCCCACTGTGGAATAAAGGATGGCAGTTGCCGTCAAAGGACCGGAGGAGTTTCTTTCCTCCCTCTGGCAGCTCTTCCTTTTGTAGGGGGATCGTTTCTCTTGTGTGGGTTTGAGATCCTGGATCCCAATCTCACTGAATTATTGCCATGGGTGGGAACCAAGTCCCTGGGAGTGTGTGTGTGCATGTGGGGAAGGGCTGGGCCTGGACCTGCAGCTCCCTGCTAAGGCCTGCACATCAGGCCTGTGCTGAGGGCACAGGGCAGAGCTGAAGGCAAGGCCTGCTGCCCATGCAGAGCACAGGGCAGAGCTGAAGGCCCAACACATGCCCGTGTCGAGAGCAGAAGGCTGGAACAGGCCCCGACAGCAGTGGCAACAAAGGCCAGACCCCTCCAGCACAAGGAGGCAGCCGAGCACCCCCATGTGCTGCCAGGGGCATTTTGGGGGCACTACTGAGCCAGTCCCTCTGGAGGGATGGGCAGTTCCCAAGGACAAAGCTGAAGCACACTGAGGTGTCCAGACTCTGTCAGGGCGGCAAAGCAGAATCCTGCAACCACTGTGGCCCTGGTGGAAATGATATCTCTTTTCCAACGTTTTAATGTTTTCATTAACTCATTAATTAATTATTTTATCTAATAATACACAGTCTGTTGAATCACTTTCCGCTTGCATTCTGCAGCATTTGACATGAGCTGCTCTTGTGGGAGCACAACTTGGGAAAATACTGAAACTTTCCGTTTTGATGAAGTAACTCTGATAGGGAGAGAAAGGTGTGTTGCTGAAGTTGGAAATCGAGCATGCAGAATTTATGGACCACAAGGATATTTTACAGAAACCAGAAGATAAAGAAGAGACTAACGGAGACTCGGTATATGTAACGGAAAGTCCGTACCGGGGCAAAACCAGAATAAAAAAATTAAAAGTATGGACTTAATTCGCATAAACCGGGCGGAATTAATAACCAGTTGTCATGGTTTGAGATAGCCCCACAATCCAATTCCCTAGCTCCATTCCTCCTCCCACATCTCAACCTAATGTGAGATGGGTTTTCCAGACAAAAACACAACCAGACTCAGAATGGGGGAAAGGGAATATATTACAATGACTATACAAATAAATATTATAATACATTATCCACACGATCACAACTATCTCTACCATGACATATAGTATTTACAATGGATCAGATCTCTTCTCCCCTCCAAATAAAAGTCCAGGAGGGAAAAAAGGACAGATCCCTTCTTTGGAGCAGCAGGATCTTCTACAGCAGCAGTCATCTGTCCTCTCCACATGCAGGCAGCTGATAGCTGGATTTCTGCCAGCACTCACAAGGGAGCTATCCAAGCCTCTCTCGGCCCCGTCGCCTCCAACCGAGGGGTCTTCCGTGGACTACGTCACCCCAGACAAAGGTCGTTCCACCACGGTCGTATCACGAGCACAGGGGGCTTCGTGACAGTCTGGTATCTCCAGGAGATTCAAGCTCCTTGCAGGGCCTCTGTGCCTCTGCCTCAGGCTGCCATCTTGGCAGCAGTGCGAGGGGGGAGCCAAGGTCACCCCCTCTGCATTCCTCTCGGAGCTCTCTAGATCCTTTCTGCAGTGCATGTCGCACTTCAAGCCTCTTTCAAGCAAGAGTCCATCATCTTCCTCCTTCCAGGAGGTCTCAAAGGAGTTTGGGGGGGGTCTGGTACAGTTCTTACCCCCAGAACTCTCTCTCTCAGCTGCTGACTCTCCTTCTTGGCTCTCCAACACAACTCGGTGTCTTCCTTATTCAGTTGCATCTCTTCTGCTTCTCCGGTTCAGTTCTTATCTGTCCTGGCTCTCTGCCAGAGTCTCTGGACGCTGCATCTGCCGCTGCTGTCTCTGCTCACCCACAGTAGAGAAAACGTCTCCCGGCATACTACAAACACTTAGTCCAGTCTAAAACTGTTCCAAGTCTCTGCAGTCCCACCCAGCCAGGGGCTGGGAGGCCCCAGAGGCCCCAAGGGGCTCAGAGCCCCTTCCTCGTGGCTCTACAACATGGCCACCTCTTCAAACAACAACCAAAACTACAACTCGTCTCTTCCGGTGCTTGTGATATGTTTACATTTTTGCAGGAGCGCCCATTGGGCAAAACTTCAAAACTTACAGGGGTTTCCACCCCTTGGGGTCTACCACTTTTCTTAAACTCTGGGGGAAAACAAGATTCAAACCACTACACCAGTAGAGGAGAGACTACTCCTTAATGAAGGGGAATTATGTCATTTAAAACCAATGAACATTCATTTCTTTCTTTCCTAAAAATTAATAAAGAGGTAAAAAACAGTTGCATTGGTAGTCTGGGTAGAGGCCGGGATTCTGTAGGACATGGACACACCCAGGAGTGTGAATAAAGTATTGCCTTGCTTTCTAACAGGATAAATGCAGTGTTAGAGGGTTTTATTGTGGCATGGATTTTGGAGGATTTTTGGTGACAGGTGTACAAGTCGGATGAGAAGCGTTTGAGAGAACTGGGTGTGTTTAGCATGAGGAGAAAGAAGTTCAGGGGGGACCTAATCGTTCTCTACAACAACCAGAAAGGAAGTGGTAGCCAGGCGGGGGATGGCTTGTTCTCCCAGGGAACAAGCACTGCGACAAGAGGAAAGGGCGTCAAGTTGCGCCAGGGGAGAGTTCCATTGGATCCTAGGAAAAATTCCTTCACCAAAAAGCTTATCGAGTTTGGGAACAGAGTGCCAAGAGAAAAGGCTAAGTCCCCACCCTTGGAGGCATTTAAAGGCTCTGTTGATGTGTCATTTGGGGACATGGTTTATTGGTGGAATAGGCAGTGTAAGGTTGGCAGTTGGACAAAAGATCTCCAAGGTCTTCTCCAACCTCCGTGACTCAGAGATTGAACTTCAGCTCAAGCAGTGTGGAGTCAGGGCTTGCACTCCAACACCCTCAAGGGTCCCTTCAAACATGGCTCTTCCATGTGACTGCCACTGAGGAACAGATGAGAATAAATGCAAAAGAAAGGAGAATGGAAGTTCTTGGAAGAAGATTAACTCCAAGGAAGCCTTAAGCATTACACCAGGGCTACTGGGAGTTCCTGAGCTGGGGTGGGGACAAAGGGCGGGGCTGGCCTGGCTGTGATGTGATGTGGCTCTTGTGACATCACAGGCATTGTGTCACAGTGGGGGCAGCTAGAGATGGCCCCAGCAGGTAACGCTGCCCCAGTCGAGCCTGGACAAGTGGTGAGTGCACACACGCAGGGGCGAGGCTGCGTTGGGCGAGGGTCGGGGCCAAAACGCTGCCCCTGGGGCTGGGTTCTCCCTCTGCATCCAGGGCCAATCCCTCACCAGAACACCTGGGGCACGGATTGGTGCTGCTGTTCCTGGGGCAGTGGGACAGGCCTTGCTGCCTGCCAGCTGCCCTGGACCCTGTCCTTCCTGCTCCACATCCCCGCTGCTCCCATTTGTACTCCCCTCACCTCTCGCTCCTTCCCTCCCTTTCAGCCCCACTCAACCCCTTCTCTCTCTCCTCCTGCAGGCCATGGCTGCGAAACTGATTCTTCTCGTGCTTTTGCAAACCCTCATCCAGTACCCACAGATGGTGGGTGATGGGCTGGATGAGGTCACCCGTCTGCGCATGGAGCTGCGTGAAAAGCTCCTGGACAGAGAGATGACTCGGCTGCTGCAGGAGCTGGAGCAGAGCAGCCTGGAGCGCAGTGTCAGGGCCTGGGGAGCCCTGCTCTGGGCTGCCTTGCAACAGGGGGACTTCTGGGCTCTGGCTGGAGTCCTGGGCCTCCTCTTGTGGCTGTGGTTTATCCGCAGCAGAAGAAGCCGCCAGCCAGACAACAATGGCCGGGAGGAGGGGGCAGGAGATGATGATGGTGGTGGAAATGAAGGGGAAGAAAATCGTGATGCGATTGTGTGGGAAGTCAACAACGGTGATGCAATTGAAGGAGAAGACCACGATGTTGCAAATGAAGTAGAAGAGGATATTATTACCCACAACCTGAGACAGCGTTTAGAGGAGCACCTAGACCACCTGATGGAAGGTAGAGTGATTACAACTATCCTGATGGAGAACTTCATGGTGTTCTTTGGACACCTCTTGTCAGACAGTTCATACCCAGTGCCGCAACGAGCCATTGGGGTTGGCAGTGCCTTTGAAGGCTGGAGTCCCCGGGAGGAGGATGTTGTGTACCGTGTCCTTGTACCTCTCAATCCTCCCCCGGGGCACACCTTCCATCTGGAGATGGACACCTCAGGGCAGTTGCCCGGCAGGAACTTCTTCATCCGCGTGGAGCCGGTGTGCACCTGCCCAAGGGAGCAGCAGGATGACAACGTGCTGTGCTCCCTCCACCACCACCCAGAGGATGAGCAGAGGAGGAACGAGGAGCCCAACTTCCTAAACACCCTCGGCACTGGTTCCTACCTGGATGTGGAGAAAACTGCCCGCTGGTTCTACCAGTTGGTGAGAGCGGCCTGGCCGGCTTTGCCTCAGTCACACAGTTGGCAAATAGTGCTGCTGCCCTCCAGCCGCTGCTGCAAATTCAAGGTGACCAGAGGCAGAAAGAGCCTGACGGTTGAGTTGCTCTTTGGAGTGCGAGAAGGCAATTCAGACATCTATGTGAGCAGCCAGCCTACAGAGGCCCTCTTCACCCCAAGCACAGTGTGGCCTGAGACCTACGCCGTGGCAGAGATGAAGTTCTTCAAGCTCATTGCCCGGCAGGATCCACTTAACAACTGGCATCTCAAGTGCCTGCATGTCTTGGCCCGAGCTCTTCTGGGCATAGGCTTCTCCACCTATACCCTGAAGACCATTGTGATGCACCTCCTGAACACCATACCCGTGTCACGGTGGCGCATGAGGCATTTCCGGCGGCGGCTGGGGAATACCATGGAGTACCTGCACGGTTCCCTGGAGGAGAAACGCCTTGACCACTTTGTTGTGGGCAACCGGACATTTCCTCAAGAGATTCTCTTGCCCCCTGATGTCAAAACCGCCGAGCCACCCAACCTCTTCCATCGCCTGGCACAGGATCCGGCCGCCCACACGCAGGCGATGAACGAGTACTGTGAACTGGGACATCGACTCTCAAGAATGCTGCACGACGGCCGTTGAAAGAAGTCTTCCTGCACACAGCTGTGCTTGGGGGACTCACAGCTGGTCAAGGACAAGCACCTCCTACCGCAAGGAAAAAAGAGAGGAGCATGTGGGACAGAGAGAGGGAAAGGAAAGCGCTTTGCAGCAGCGCTCTGCCATCAGCATTCCCCTCTGCCCAGCACAGCCTGCAGTGATGGCCAGGGGGGCTACAAAGATGACTTTCATCCTCCTTTCCCCTCACACTCTCACGGCCATTGTGGCCATTTTAGATGGGCCCAGGAATTCTTTCTGGTACCTCCAGCTGCTCAGGGATCAAGTGATAGGCATCGCCACTGTTGCTCCTTGTGTTCGTGGTGGCCTGGCTGGAGAATCTGCCCATCCCAAACCATATCTCTCATTGATCCCTGAAGGGCCATCTTTAGGTCAAGGTTGCACTCACCCTGCTGGACCTGACCTGAAATTTTTTGGATATAAATTTAAAAGTTTTTCTGTAGTGTATATATATATTTAAAACTAATAGGCCATAGAGATATTTACTATAGCACATAGATATATAATTTATTGACTATAACATTATTTTTATATAGGGGCATAGCACAAATAAATCTGGCCCCACTTCTTTTTAATATATATATTTTAGGTAATATTACATATATCTCTTGATATTTTTTATAGCACATAGATAATTAACTTGATAGAAAAATATTTTATATATTAATATAGCATTAATAAATCTCTCACAGTCTTTCCGCTTGTCCCCTTAAGGGACACCTTCAGGTCAGCCTTGCACCAAGACTGTCATCCCTTGACTCTGTTGGAGCTGACCTTAATTTTTTAATATATAAATACATAAGTATATAAATTTTTAGATATAGAGATAATATATACTGTAGGCCATTTATTTGATATAATATTATTAGTACATAAGTATAGCACCAATTCATCTGTCCCAGCACATTTTAATGCCCTGTAGTCACTGCATTTAGGACTGGAATCCAACAACTCCTTTCTCCTTGCTTCAATAAAGAGTGCTATTCTAGAATCTGGATTGTGCAAGTTTGTGTGGAACACAACCAGGCCCAGAGGCTCGGGAAATCACACTAGTTGTGAGTCTGTGCTCGTGAACAGTAGCACTGAGCTCGACCAAACTGAGAGTGCTGAATGGCTTCTCATCCCAAATTAGGCCTCCTGCCACCCGGCCCCTCTGCTCATCGAATCACAGAATGCTTTGGGCTGGAAGGGACCTTCAAATTCATCTGGTTCCAACCCCCCTGCCATGGGCAGGCACACCTTCCAGTAGACCAGGTTTCTCCAATCCCCAGCCCACCAGGCCTTTAACACTCCCAGACCTGTTCTCTGCTCTTCTCCTTCCCTCTCATAGACTGGGCATTTTGCAGCAGGCGCCTCAAGAGAGCAGAGAGATCCTTTCGAAGGGGAGCTCTGTGCAGGGTAGAAACGCAGCCACCAATGGCCTCTGGCTGGAGCCAGAGATTTAGGGATCCCCCTCGGCTCCTGCAGAGGCACAACAAGTGAAGGGCTGGAGAGCTGCTTGCCCTCTGCAGAACGTCCATCTTCCCTTGTCTCTAGTTGCTTCCTCATGGTTTTAAAGCAACCTGAGCAGGGGGAGTGAAAAAGAACCCTTTCCAGACGCTTGGCTGCCCCAAATCACCCCCACTGTGGAATAAAGGATGGCAGTTGCCGTCAAAGGACCGGAGGAGTTTCTTTCCTTCCCTCTGGCAGCTCTTCCTTTTGTAGGGGGATCGTTTCTCTTGTGTGGGTTTGAGATCCTGGATCCCAATCTCACTGAATTATTGCCATGGGTGGGAACCAAGTCCCTGGGAGTGTGTGTGTGCATGTGGGGAAGGGCTGGGCCTGGACCTGCAGCTCCCTGCTAAGGCCTGCACATCAGGCCTGTGCTGAGGGCACAGGGTAGAGCTGAAGGCAAGGCCTGCTGCCCATGCAGAGCACAGGGCAGAGCTGAAGGCCCAACACATGCCCGTGTCGAGAGCAGAAGGCTGGAACAGGCCCCGACAGCAGTGGCAACAAAGGCCAGACCCCTCCAGCACAAGGAGGCAGCCGAGCACCCCCATGTGCTGCCAGGGGCATTTTGGGGGCACTACTGAGCCAGTCCCTCTGGAGGGATGGGCAGTTCCCAAGGACGAAGCTGAAGCACACTGAGGTGTCCAGACTCTGTCAGGGCGGCAAAGCGGAATCCTGCAACCACTGTGGCCCTGGTGGAAATGATATCTCTTTTCTAATGTTGTAATGGTTTCATTAACTCGTTAATTAATTGTTTTAACTAATAATACACAGTCTGTTGAATCACTTTCCGCTTGCATTCTGCAGCATTTGACATGAGCTGCTCTTGTGGGAGCACAGCTTGGGAAAATACTGAAACTTTCCGTTTTGATGAAGTAACTCTGATAGGGAGAGAAAGGTGTGTTGCTGAAGTTGGAAATCGAGCATGCAGAATTTATGGACCACAAGGATATTTTACAGAAACCAGAAGATAAAGAAGAGACTAACGGAGACTCGGTATATGTAACGGAAAGTCCGTACCGGGGCAAAACCAGAATAAAAAGATTAAAAATATGGACTTAATTCGCATAAACTGGGAGGAATTAATAACCAGTAGAGGAGAGATTACTCCTCAATGAAGGGGAATTATGTCATTTAGGACCAATGAACATTAATTTCTTTCTTTCCTAAAAATTAATAGAGAGGTGAAAAACAGTTGCATTGGTGTCTGTGTAGAGGCTGGGATTCTGTAGGACATGGACACACCCAGGATTGTGAATAAAGTAATGCCTTGCTTTCTAACAGGATAAATGCAGTGTTAGAGGGTTTTATTGTGGCATGGATTTTGGAGGATTTTTGGTGACAGGTGTACAAGTCTGTTGAGAAGCGTTTGAGAGAACTGGGTGTGTTTAGCATGAGGAGAAAGAAGTTCAGGGGGGACCTAATCGTTCTCTACAACAACCAGAAAGGAAGTGGTAGCCAGGCGGGGGATGGCTTGTTCTCCCAGGGAACAAGCACTGCGACAAGAGGAAAGGGCGTCAAGTTGCGCCAGGGGAGAGTTCCATTGGATCCTAGGAACAATTCCTTCACCAAAAAGCTTATCGAGTTTGGGAACAGAGTGCCAAGAGAAAAGGCTAAGTCCCCACCCTTGGAGGCATTTAAAGGCTCTGTTGATGTGTCATTTGGGGACATGGTTTATTGGTGGAATAGGCAGTGTAAGGTTGGCAGTTGGACAAAAGATCTCCAAGGTCTTCTCCAACCTCCGTGACTCAGAGATTTAACTTCAACTCAAGCAGTGTGGAGTCAGGGCTTGCACTCCAACACCCTCAAGGGTCCCTTCAAACATGGCTCTTCCATGTGACTGCCACTGAGGAACAGATGAGAATAAATGCAAAAGAAAGGAGAATGGAAGTTCCTGGAAGAAGATTAACTCCAAGGAAGCCTTAAACATTACACCAGGGCCACTGGAATTTGCTGAGCCGGGGTGGGGACGAAGGGCGGGGCTGGCCTGGCTGTGATGTGATGTGGCTCTTGTGACATCACAGGCATTGTGTCACAGTGGGGGCAGCTAGAGACGGCCCCAGCAGGTAACGCTGCCCCAGTCGAGCCTGGACAAGTGGTGAGTGCACACACGCAGGGGCGAGGCTGCGTTGGGCGAGGGTCGGGGCCGAAACACTGCCCCTGGGGCTGGGTTCTCCCTCTGCATCCAGGGCCAATCCCTCACCAGAACACCTGGGGCACGGATTGGTGCTGTTCCTGCTGGGGTAGTGGGACAGGCCTTGCTGCCTGCCAGCTGCCCTGGGGCCCTGTCCTTCCTGCTCCACATCCCCGCTGCTCCCATTTGCACTCCCCTCACCTCCCGCTCCTTCCCTCCCTTTCAACCCCACTCAACCCCTTCTCTCTCTCCTCCTGCAGACCATGGCTGCAAAACTGATTCTTCTCGTGCTTTTGCAAACCCTCATCCAGTACCCACAGATGGTGGGTGATGGGCTGGATGAGGTCACCCGTCTGCGCATGGAGCTGCGTGAAAAGCTCCTGGACAGAGAGATGACTCGGCTGCTGCAGGAGCTGGAGCAGAGCAGCCTGGAGCGCAGTGTCAGGGCCTGGGGAGCCCTGCTCTGGGCTGCCTTGCAACAGGGGGACTTCTGGGCTCTGGCTGGAGTCCTGGGCCTCCTCTTGTGGCTGTGGTTTATCCGCAGCAGAAGAAGCCGCCAGCCAGACAACAATGGCCGGGAGGAGGGGGCAGGAGATGGCGATGGTGGTGGAAATGAAGGGGAAGAAAATCGTGATGCGATTATGTGGGAAGTTAACAACGGTGATGCAATTGAAGGAGAAGGCCACGATGTTGCAAATGAAGTAGAAGAGGATGTTATTACCCACAACTTGAGACGACGTTTAGAGGAGCACACATGGCATCTGATGGAAGGTAGCGCGATAACAACTATCCTGATGGAGAACTTCATGATGTTCTTTGGACACCTCTTGTCAGACAGTTCATACCCAGTGCCGCAACGAGCCATTGGGGTGGGCAGTGCCTTTGAAGGCTGGAGTCCCCGGGAGGAGGATGTGGTGTACACTGTCCTTGTACCTCTCAATCCTCCCCCGGGGCACACCTTCCATCTGGAGATGGACACTTCAGGGCACATACCTGGCAGGAACTTCTGTGTCCGCGTGGAGCCGGTGTGCACCTGCCCAAGGGAGCAGCAGGATGACAACGTGCTGTGCTCCCTCCACCACCACCCAGAGGATGAGCAGAGGAGGAACGAGGAGCCCAACTTCCTAAACACCCTCTGCACTGGCTCCTACCTGGATGTGGAGAAAACTGCCCGCTGGTTCTACCAGTTGGTGAGAGCGGCCTGGCCGGCTTTGCCTCAGTCACACAGTTGGCAATTAGTGCTGCTGCCCTCCAACCGCTGCTGCAAATTCAAGGTGACCAGAGGCAGACTGAGCCTGATGGTTGAGTTGCTCTTTGGGGTGCAAGTAGGCAATTCAGACATCTACGTGAGCAGCCAGCCTACAGAGGCCCTCTTCACCCCAAGCACAGTGTGGCCTGAGACCTACGCCGTGGCAGAGATGAAGTTTTTCCGGCTCATTGCCCGGCAGGCTCCACCTGACAGTTGGCACCTCAAGTGCCTGCATGTCTTGGCCCGAGCTCTTCTGGGCATAGGTTTCTCCACCTATACCCTGAAGACCATTGTGATGCACCTCCTGAACACCGTACCTCTGTCAGGCTGGCGCATGAGGCATTTCTTGCAGCGGCTGGAGGATACCATGGAGTACCTGCACGGTTCCCTGGAGGAGAAACGCCTTGACCACTTTGTTGTGGGCAACCGGACATTTCCTCAAGAGATTCTCTTGCCCCCAGATGTCAAAACCACCGAGCCACCCAACCTCTTCCATCGCCTGGCACATGATCCGGCCGCCCACACGCAGGCCATGAGGGAGTACCAAGAACTTGCAGAACGGATCGAAAGGATTGTCCTCTACGGCCAGTGAAAGAGGTCTTAACATAGAAAGCTGTGCTTGTGGGGCTCACAGCTGGTCCAAGACAACCACCTCATACCACAAGCAAAAAGAGAGGAGGATGTGGGAGAGAGAGAGGGAAGGGAAAACCTTGTGCAGCAGCACTCTGCCATCAATATTCCCCTCTTAGCAGTCTGCCCAGCTCAGCCTCCTGTGATGACCTGGGGGGCTACAAAGATGACTTTCATCCTCCTTTCCCCTCCTACTCTCACGGCCATTGTGTCCATTTCAGATGGGCCCAGGAATTCTTTCTGGTACCTTCAGTTGCTCAGGGATCAAGTGAGAGGCATCGCTAATGTTCCTAAACTGTATCTCTCCTTCTTCCCTGAAGGGATATCTTTAGGTCAGCATTGCACACACCGTGCGGGACCTGACCTGAAAATTTTTAATTTATACTTTAGAATATTTTCTTTATTACATATATTTTATTTAATATTTCATATATCTATTGATATTTAATATAGCATATAGTATTAAACCTAATATCATAATATTTTAACATATTAATATAGCATTTATAGATTCTCACAGTGTTTCCCCCTGTCCCCTTAAGGGACACCTTTAGGTCAGCCTTGCACCAAGACTATCTTTCCCAGCCTCTGTTGGAGCTGACCTTAATGTTTTTATATATAAATATAGAAGTTCTTAAATTTTTAGATATATATAGATAATATAGACTATAGTTAATTTATTTGATAAAATATTATTTTTTTGCAAATACAGCATCAATAGATCTGTCCCGACACATAGTAATGCCCTGTAGTCACTGCATTTAGGACAGGCAATCCAGAAACTGCTTTCCCCTTGCTTCAATAAAGAGTGCTATTCCAGAATCTGGATCGTGCAAGTTTGTGTGGAACTCAACAAGGCCCAGAGGCTCGGGAAATCACACTAGTTGTGAGTCTGTGCTCGTGAACAGTAGCACTGAGCTCGACCAAACTGAGAGTGCTGAATGGCTTCTCATCTCAAATTAGGCCTCCTGCCACCCGGCCCCTCTGCTCATCGAATCACAGAATGCTTTGGGCTGGAAGGGACCTTCAAATTCATCTGGTTCCAACCCCCCTGCCATGGGCAGGCACACCTTCCAGTAGACCAGGTTTCTCCAGGCCCCAGCCCACCAGGCCTTTAACACTCCCAGACCTGTTCTCTGCTCTTCTCCTTCCCTCTCATAGACTGGGCATTTTGCAGCAGGCACCTCAAGAGAGCAGAGCAATCCTTTCGAAGGGGAGCTCTGTGCAGGGTAGAAACGCAGCCACCAATGGCCTCTGGCTGGAGCCAGAGATTTAGGGATCCCCCTCGGCTCCTGCAGAGGCACAACAAGTGAAGGGCTGGAGAGCTGCTTGCCCTCTGCAGAACGTCCATCTTCCCTTGTCTCTAGTTGCTTCCTCATGGTTTTAAAGCATCCTGAGCAGGGGGAGTGAAAAAGAACCCTTTCCAGACGCTTGGCTGCCCCAAATCACCCCCACTGTGGAATAAAGGATGGCAGTTGCCGTCAACGGACCGGAGGAGTTTCTTTCCTTCCCTCTGGCAGCTCTTCCTTTTGTAGGGGGATCGTTTCTCTTGTGTGGGTTGTGAGATCCTGGATCCCAATCTCACTGAATTATTGCCATGGGTGGGAACCAAGTCCCTGGGAGTGTGTGTGTGCATGTGGGGAAGGGCTGGGCCTGGACCTGCAGCTCCCTGCTAAGGCCTGCACATCAGGCCTGTGCTGAGGGCACAGGGCAGAGCTGAAGGCAAGGCCTGCTGCCCATGCAGAGCACAGGGCAGAGCTGAAGGCCCAACACATGCCCGTGTCGAGAGCAGAAGGCTGGAACAGGCCCCGACAGCAGTGGCAACAAAGGCCAGACCCCTCCAGCACAAGGAGGCAGCCGAGCACCCCCATGTGCTGCCAGGGGCATTTTGGGGGCACTACTGAGCCAGTCCCTCTGGAGGGATGGGCAGTTCCCAAGGACGAAGCTGAAGCACACTGAGGTGTCCAGACTCTGTCAGGGCGGCAAAGCGGAATCCTGCAACCACTGTGGCCCTGGTGGAAATGATATCTCTTTTCTAATTTGTAATGGTTTCATTAACTCGTTAATAATTGTCTTTAATAATACACAGTCTGTTGAATCACTTTCCGCTTGCATTCTGCAGCATTTGACATGAGCTGCTCTTGTGGGAGCACAGCTTGGGAAAATACTGAAACTTTCCGTTTTGATGAAGTAACTCTGATAGGGAGAGAAAGGTGTGTTGCTGAAGTTGGAAATCGAGCATGCAGAATTTATGGACCACAAGGATATTTTACAGAAACCAGAAGATAAAGAAGAGACTAACGGAGACTCGGTATATGTAACGGAAAGTCCGTACCGGGGCAAAACCAGAATAAAAAGATTAAAAATATGGACTTAATTCGCATAAACTGGGAGGAATTAATAACCAGTAGAGGAGAGATTACTCCTCAATGAAGGGGAATTATGTCATTTAGGACCAATGAACATTCGTTTCTTTCTTTCCTAAAAATTAATAAAGAGGTGAAAAACAGTTGCATTGGAGTCTGTGTAGAGGCCGGGATTCTGTAGGACATGGACACACCCAGGATTGTGAATAAAGTAATGCCTTGCTTTCTAACAGGATAAATGCAGTGTTAGAGGGTTTCATTGTGGCATGGATTTTGGAGGATTTTTGGTGACAGGTGTACAAGTCTGATGAGAAGCGTTTGAGAGAACTGGGTGTGTTTAGCATGAGGAGAAAGAAGTTCAGGGGGGACCTAATCGTTCTCTACAACAACCAGAAAGGAAGTGGTAGCCAGGCGGGGGATGGCTTGTTCTCCCAGGGAACAAGCACTGCGACAAGAGGAAAGGGCGTCCAGTTGTGCCAGGGGAGATTTCCATTGGATCCTAGGAACAATTCCTTCACCAAAAAGCTTATCGAGTTTGGGAACAGAGCGCCCAATGAAAAGGCTACCTCCCCACCCTTGGAGGCATTTAAAGGGTCTGTTGATGTGTCATTTGGGGACATGGTTTATTGGTGGAATAGGCAGTGTAAGGTTGGCAGTTGGACAAAAGATCTCCAAGGTCTTCTCCAACCTCCGTGACTCAGAGATTGAACTTCAGCTCAAGCAGTGTGGAGTCAGGGCTTGCACTCCAACACCCTCAAGGGTCCCTTCAAACATGGCTCTTCCATGTGACTGCCACTGAGGAACAGATGAGAATAAATGCAAAAGAAAGGAGAATGGAAGTTCTTGGAAGAAGATTAACACCAAGGCAGCCTTAAGCATTACACCAGGGCTACTGGAATTTGCTGAGCCGGGGTGGGGACGAAGGGCGGGGCTGGCCTGGCTGTGATGTGATGTGGCTCTTGTGACATCACAGGCATTGTGTCACAGTGGGGGCAGCTAGAGATGGCCCCAGCAGGTAACGCTGCCCCAGTCGAGCCTGGACAAGTGGTGAGTGCACACACGCAGGGGCGAGGCTGCGTTTGGCGAGGGTCGGGGCCAAAACGCTGCCCCTGGGGCTGGGTTCTCCCTCTGCATCCAGGGCCAATCCCTCACCAGAACACCTGGGGCACGGATTGGTGCTGCTGTTCCTGGGGCAGTGGGACAGGCCTTGCTGCCTGCCAGCTGCCCTGGACCCTGTCCTTCCTGCTCCACATCCCCGCTGCTCCCATTTGTACTCCCCTCACCTCTCGCTCCTTCCCTCCCTTTCAGCCCCACTCAACCCCTTCTCTCTCTCCTCCTGCAGGCCATGGCTGCGAAACTGATTCTTCTCGTGCTTTTGCAAACCCTCATCCAGTACCCACAGATGGTGGGTGATGGGCTGGATGAGGTCACCCGTCTGCACATGGAGCTGCGTGAAAAGCTCCTGGACAGAGAGATGACTCGGCTGCTGCAGGAGCTGGAGCAGAGCAGCCTGGAGCGCAGTGTCAGGGCCTGGGGAGCCCTGCTCTGGGCTGCCTTGCAACAGGGGGACTTCTGGGCTCTGGCTGGAGTCCTGGGCCTCCTCTTGTGGCTGTGGTTTATCCGCAGCAGAAGAAGCCGCCAGCCAGACAACAATGGCCGGGAGGAGGGGGCAGGAGATGATGATGGTGGTGGAAATGAAGGGGAAGAAAATCGTGATGCGATTGTATGGGAAGTTAACAACGGTGATGCAATTGAAGGAGAAGACCACGATGTTGCAAATGAAGTAGAAGAGGATATTATTACCCACAACCTGAGACAGCGTTTAGAGGAGCACCTAGACCACCTGATGGAAGGTAGAGTGATTACAACTATCCTGATGGAGAACTTCATGGTGTTCTTTGGACACCTCTTGTCAGACAGTTCATACCCAGTGCCGCAACGAGCCATTGGGGTTGGCAGTGCCTTTGAAGGCTGGAGTCCCCGGGAGGAGGATGTTGTGTACCGTGTCCTTGTACCTCTCAATCCTCCCCCGGGGCACACCTTCCATCTGGAGATGGACACCTCAGGGCAGTTGCCCGGCAGGAACTTCTTCATCCGCGTGGAGCCGGTGTGCACCTGCCCAAGGGAGCAGCAGGATGACAACGTGCTGTGCTCCCTCCACCACCACCCAGAGGATGAGCAGAGGAGGAACGAGGAGCCCAACTTCCTAAACACCCTCGGCACTGGTTCCTACCTGGATGTGGAGAAAACTGCCCGCTGGTTCTACCAGTTGGTGAGAGCGGCCTGGCCGGCTTTGCCTCAGTCACACAGTTGGCAAATAGTGCTGCTGCCCTCCAGCCGCTGCTGCAAATTCAAGGTGACCAGAGGCAGAAAGAGCCTGACGGTTGAGTTGCTCTTTGGAGTGCGAGAAGGCAATTCAGACATCTATGTGAGCAGCCAGCCTACAGAGGCCCTCTTCACCCCAAGCACAGTGTGGCCTGAGACCTACGCCGTGGCAGAGATGAAGTTCTTCAAGCTCATTGCCCGGCAGGATCCACTTAACAACTGGCATCTCAAGTGCCTGCATGTCTTGGCCCGAGCTCTTCTGGGCATAGGTTTCTCCACCTATACCCTGAAGACAATTGTGATGCACCTCCTGAACACCATACCTGTGTTGCGGTGGCGCATGAGGCATTTCCGGCGGCGGCTGGGGAATACCATGGAGTACCTGCACGGTTCCCTGGAGGAGAAACGCCTTGACCACTTTGTTGTGGGCAACCGGACATTTCCTCAAGAGATTCTCTTGCCCCCTGATGTCAAAACCGCCGAGCCACCCAACCTCTTCCATCGCCTGGCTCAGGATCCGGCCGCCCACACGCAGGCGATGAACGAGTACTGTGAACTGGGACATCGACTCGCAAGAATGCTGCACGACGGCCGTTGAAAGAAGTCTTCCTGCACACAGCTGTGCTTGGGGGACTCACAGCTGGTCAAGGACAAGCACCTCCTACCGCAAGGAAAAAAGTCAGGAGCATGTGGGACAGAGAAAGGAAAGCGCTTTGCAGCAGCGCTCTGCCATCAGCATTCCCCTCTGCCCAGCACAGCCTGCAGTGATGGCCTGGGGGGCTACAAAGATGACTTTCATCCTCCTTTCCCCTCACACTCTCACGGCCATTGTGGCCATTTTAGATGGGCCCAGGAATTCTTTCTGGTACCTCCAGCTGCTCAGGGATCAAGTGATAGGCATCGCCACTGTTGCTCCTTGTGTTCGTGGTGGCCTGGCTGGAGAATCTGCCCATCCCAAACCATATCCCTCATTGATCCCTGAAGGGCCATCTTCAGGTCAAGGTTGCACTCACCCTGCTGGACCTGACCTGAAATTTTTTAGATATAAATTTAAAAGTTTTTCTGTAGTGTATATATATATTTAAAACTAATAGGCCATAGAGATATTTACTATAGCACATAGATATATAATTTATTGACTATAACATTATTTTTATATAGGGGCATAGCACAAATAAATCTGGCCCCACTTCTTTTTAATATATATATTTTAGGTAATATTACATATATCTCTTGATATTTTTTATAGCACATAGATAATTAACTTGATAGAAAAATATTTTATATATTAATATAGCATTAATAAATCTCTCACAGTCTTTCCGCATGTCCCCTTAAGGGACACCTTCAGGTCAGCCTTGCACCAAGACTGTCATCCCTTGACTCTGTTGGAGCTGACCTTAATTTTTTAATATATAAATACATAAGTTTATAAATTTTTAGATATAGAGATAATATATACTGTAGGCCATTTATTTGATATAATATTATTAGTTCATAAGTATAGCACCAATTCATCTGTCTCAGCACATTTTAATGCCCTGTAGTCACTGCATTTAGGACTGGAATCCAACAACTCCTTTCTCCTTGCTTCAATAAAGAGTGCTATTCTAGAATCTGGATTGTGCAAGTTTGTGTGGAACACAACCAGGCCCAGAGGCTCGGGAAATCACACTAGTTGTGAGTCTGTGCTCGTGAACAGTAGCACTGAGCTCGACCAAACTGAGAGTGCTGAATGGCTTCTCATCCCAAATTAGGCCTCCTGCCACCCGGCCCCTCTGCTCATCGAATCACAGAATGCTTTGGGCTGGAAGGGACCTTCAAATTCATCTGGTTCCAACCCCCCTGCCATGGGCAGGCACACCTTCCAGTAGACCAGGTTTCTCCAAGCCCCAGCCCACCAGGCCTTTAACACTCCCAGACCTGTTCTCTGCTCTTCTCCTTCCCTCTCATAGACTGGGCATTTTGCAGCAGGCGCCTCAAGAGAGCAGAGAGATCCTTCGAAGGGGAGCTCTGTGCAGGGTAGAAACGCAGCCACCAATGGCCTCTGGCTGGAGCCAGAGATTTAGGGATCCCCCTCGGCTCCTGCAGAGGCACAACAAGTGAAGGGCTGGAGAGCTGCTTGCCCTCTGCAGAACGTCCATCTTCCCTTGTCTCTAGTTGCTTCCTCATGGTTTTAAAGCAACCTGAGCAGGGGGAGTGAAAAAGAACCCTTTCCAGACGCTTGGCTGCCCCAAATCACCCCCACTGTGGAATAAAGGATGGCAGTTGCCGTCAAAGGACCGGAGGAGTTTCTTTCCTTCCCTCTGGCAGCTCTTCCTTTTGTAGGGGGATCGTTTCTCTTGTGTGGGTTTGAGATCCTGGATCCCAATCTCACTGAATTATTGCCATGGGTGGGAACCAAGTCCCTGGGAGTGTGTGTGTGCATGTGGGGAAGGGCTGGGCCTGGACCTGCAGCTCCCTGCTAAGGCCTGCACATCAGGCCTGTGCTGAGGGCACAGGGTAGAGCTGAAGGCAAGGCCTGCTGCCCATGCAGAGCACAGGGCAGAGCTGAAGGCCCAACACATGCCCGTGTCGAGAGCAGAAGGCTGGAACAGGCCCCGACAGCAGTGGCAACAAAGGCCAGACCCCTCCAGCACAAGGAGGCAGCCGAGCACCCCCATGTGCTGCCAGGGGCATTTTGGGGGCACTACTGAGCCAGTCCCTCTGGAGGGATGGGCAGTTCCCAAGGACGAAGCTGAAGCACACTGAGGTGTCCAGACTCTGTCAGGGCGGCAAAGCTGAATCCTGCAACCACTGTGGCCCTGGTGGAAATGATATCTCTTTTCTAATGTTGTAATGGTTTCATTAACTCGTTAATTAATTGTTTTATCTAATAATACACAGTCTGTTGAATCACTTTCCGCTTGCATTCTGCAGCATTTGACATGAGCTGCTCTTGTGGGAGCACAGCTTGGGAAAATACTGAAACTTTCCGTTTTGATGAAGTAACTCTGATAGGGAGAGAAAGGTGTGTTGCTGAAGTTGGAAATCGAGTATGCAGAATTTATGGACCACAAGGATATTTTACAGAAACCAGAAGATAAAGAAGAGACTAACGGAGACTCGGTATATGTAACGGAAAGTCCGTACCGGGGCAAAACCAGAATAAAAAGATTAAAAATATGGACTTAATTCGCATAAACTGGGAGGAATTAATAACCAGTAGAGGAGAGATTACTCCTCAATGAAGGGGAATTATGTCATTTAGGACCAATGAACATTAATTTCTTTCTTTCCTAAAAATAAATAGAGAGGTGAAAAACAGTTGCATTGGTGTCTGTGTAGAGGCTGGGATTCTGTAGGACATGGACACACCCAGGATTGTGAATAAAGTAATGCCTTGCTTTCTAACAGTAAAATGCAGTGTTAGAAGGGTTTATTGTCCCATGGGTTTTGGAGGATTTTTAGTGACAGGTGTACAAGTCTGATGAGAAGCGTTTGAGAGAACTGGGTGTGTTTAGCATGAGGAGAAAGAAGTTCAGGGGGGACCTAATCGTTCTCTACAACAACCAGAAAGGAAGTGGTAGCCAGGCGGGGGATGGCTTGTTCTCCCAGGGAACAAGCACTGCGACAAGAGGAAAGGGCGTCAAGTTGTGCCAGGGGAGATTTCCATTGGATCCTAGGAACAATTCCTTCACCAAAAAGCTTATCGAGTTTGGGAACAGAGTGCCCAGAGAAAAGGCTACCTCCCCACCCTTGGAGGCATTTAAAGGGTCTGTTGATGTGTCATTTGGGGACATGGTTTATTGGTGGAATAGGCAGTGTAAGGTTGGCAGTTGGACAAAAGATCTCCAAGGTCTTCTCCAACCTCCGTGACTCAGAGATTTAACTTCAGCTCAAGCAGTGTGGAGTCAGGGCTTGCACTCCAACACCCTCAAGGGTCCCTTCAAACATGGCTCTTCCATGTGACTGCCACTGAGGAACAGATGAGAATAAATGCAAAAGAAAGGAGAATGGAAGTTCTTGGAAGAAGATTAACTCCAAGGCAGCCTTAAACATTACACCAGGGCTACTGGAAGTTGCTGAGCCGGGGTGGGGACGAAGGGCGGGGCTGGCCTGGCTGTGATGTGATGTGGCTCTTGTGACATCACAGGCATTGTGTCACAGTGGGGGCAGCTAGAGATGGCCCCAGCAGGTAACGCTGCCCCAGTCGAGCCTGGACAAGTGGTGAGTGCACACACGCAGGGGCGAGGCTGCGCTGGGCGAGGGTCGGGGCCAAAACGCTGCCCCTGGGGCTGGGTTCTCCCTCTGCATCCAGGGCCAATCCCTCACCAGAACACCTGGGGCACGGATTGGTGCTGCTGTTCCTGGGGCAGTGGGACAGGCCTTGCTGCCTGCCAGCTGCCCTGGACCCTGTCCTTCCTGCTCCACATCCCCGCTGCTCCCATTTGTACTCCCCTCACCTCTCGCTCCTTCCCTCCCTTTCAGCCCCACTCAACCCCTTCTCTCTCTCCTCCTGCAGGCCATGGCTGCGAAACTGATTCTTCTCGTGCTTTTGCAAACCCTCATCCAGTACCCACAGATGGTGGGTGATGGGCTGGATGAGGTCACCCGTCTGCGCATGGAGCTGCGTGAAAAGCTCCTGGACAGAGAGATGACTCGGCTGCTGCAGGAGCTGGAGCAGAGCAGCCTGGAGCGCAGTGTCAGGGCCTGGGGAGCCCTGCTCTGGGCTGCCTTGCAACAGGGGGACTTCTGGGCTCTGGCTGGAGTCCTGGGCCTCCTCTTGTGGCTGTGGTTTATCCGCAGCAGAAGAAGCCGCCAGCCAGACAACAATGGCCGGGAGGAGGGGGCAGGAGATGATGATGGTGGTGGAAATGAAGGGGAAGAAAATCGTGATGCGATTGTGTGGGAAGTCAACAACGGTGATGCAATTGAAGGAGAAGACCACGATGTTGCAAATGAAGTAGAAGAGGATATTATTACCCACAACCTGAGACAGCGTTTAGAGGAGCACCTAGACCACCTGATGGAAGGTAGAGTGATTACAACTATCCTGATGGAGAACTTCATGGTGTTCTTTGGACACCTCTTGTCAGACAGTTCATACCCAGTGCCGCAACGAGCCATTGGGGTGGGCAGTGCCTTTGAAGGCTGGAGTCCCCGGGAGGAGGATGTGGTGTACCTGTCCTTGGGGCACACCTTCCATCTGGAGATGGACACTTCTTCTTCATCCGCGTGGAGCCGGTGTGCACCTGCCCAAGGGAGCAGCAGGATGACAACGTGCTGTGCTCCCTCCACCACCACCCAGAGGATGAGCAGAGGAGGAACGAGGAGCCCAACTTCCTAAACACCCTCTGCACTGGCTCCTACCTGGATGTGGAGAAAACTGCCCGCTGGTTCTACCAGTTGGTGAGAGCGGCCTGGCCGGCTTTGCCTCAGTCACACAGTTGGCAAATAGTGCTGCTGCCCTCCAGCCGCTGCTGCAAATTCAAGCTGACCAGAGGTAGACAGAGCCTGACGGTTGAGTTGCTCTTTGGAGTTCAAGAAGGCAATTCAGACATCTATGTGAGCAGCCAGCCTACAGAGGCCCTTTTCACCCCAAGTACAGTGTGGCCTGAGACCTACGCCGTGGCAGAGATGAAGTTCTTCAGGCACATTGCCAATCAGGCTCCACCTAACAGCTGGCACCTCAAGTGCCTGCATGTCTTGGCCCGAGCTCTTCTGGGCATAGGTTTCTCCACCTATACCCTGAAGACCATTGTGATGCACCTCCTGAACACCATACCTCTGTCAGGCTGGCGCATGACGCATTTCCGGCGGCGGCTGGAGGATACCATGGAGTACCTGCACGGTTCCCTGGAGGAGAAACGCCTTGACCACTTTGTTGTGGGGAACCGGACATTTCCTCAAGAAATTCTCTTGCCCCCGGATGTCAAAACCGCTGAGCCACCCAACCTCTTCCATCGCCTGGCACAGGATCTGGCCGCCCACACGCAGGCGATGAACGAGTGCCGTGAACTGGGACATCGACTCGCAAGAATGCTGCACGACGGCCGTTGAAAGAAGTCTTCCTGCACACAGCTGTGCTTGGGGGGCTCACAGCTTGGGGGGCTCACAGCTGGTCAAAGACAAGCACCTCCTACCGCAAGGAAAAAAGTCAGGAGTATGTGGGACAGAGAAAGGAAAACCCTTTGCAGCAGCACTCTGCCATCAGCATTCCCCTCTGCCCAGCACAGCCTGCAGTGATGGCCAGGGGGGCTACAAAGATGACTTTCATCCTCCTTTCCCCTCACACTCTCACGGCCATTGTGGCCATTTTAGATGGGCCCAGGAATTCTTTCTGGTACCTCCAGCTGCTCAGGGATCAAGTGATAGGCATCGCCACTGTTGCTCCTTGTGTTCGTGGTGGCCTGGCTGGAGAATCTGCCCATCCCAAACCATATCCCTCATTGATCCCTGAAGGGCCATCTTTAGGTCAAGGTTGCACTCACCCTGCTGGACCTGACCTGAAATTTTTTAGATATAAATTTAAAAGTTTTTCTGTAGTGTATATATATATTTAAAACTAATAGGCCATAGAGATATTTACTATAGCACATAGATATATAATTTATTGACTATAACATTATTTTTATATAGGGGCATAGCACAAATAAATCTGGCCCCACTTCTTTTTAATATATATATTTTAGGTAATATTACATATATCTCTTGATATTTTTTATAGCACATAGATAATTAACTTGATAGAATAATATTTTTATGTATTAATATAGCATTAATAAATCTCTCACAGTCTTTCTGCTTGTCCCCTTAAGGGACACCTTTAGGTCAGCATTCCACGAAGTCTGTCATCCCCAGACACAGTTGGAGTTGACCTTAATTTTTCAGTATATAACTACATAATTTTTAATTTAATGCATACTTATATTTTATAGGTAGTTCACTTGATATAATATTAGTATTACATAAATATAGCACCAATAGATCGCCCACTCTTTGTTTCAACACATATTAACAGTCAGTAGTCACTGCATTTAGGACTGGCAATGCAGAAATCGCTTTCCCCTTGCTTCAATAAAGAGTGCTATTCCAGAATCTGGATTGTGCAAGTTTGTGTAGAACTCAGCCAGGCCCAGAGCCTTGGGAAATCACACTAGTTGTGAGTCTGCGCTCATGAACAGCCACATTGACCTCAAGCAAACTGAGAGTGCTGAATGGCTTCTTATCCCAAATTAGGCCTCCTGCCACCCGGCCCCTCTGCTCATCGAATCACAGAAGGCTTTGGGCTGGAAGGGACCTTAAAATTCATCTGGTTCCAACCCCCCTGCCATGGGCAGGCAAACCTTCCAGTAGACCAGGTTTCTCCAAGCCCCAGCCCACCAGGCCTTTAACACTCCCAGACCTGTTCTCTGCTCTTCTCCTTCCCTCTCATAGACTGGGCATTTTGCAGCAGGCGCCTCAAGAGAGCAGAGAGATCCCTTCGAAGGGGAGCTCTGTGCAAGGTAGAAACGCAGCCACCAATGGCCTCTGGCTGGAGCCAGAGATTTAGGGATCCCCCTCGGCTCCTGCAGAGGCACAACAAGTGAAGGGCTGGAGAGCTGCTTGCCCTCTGCAGAACGTCCATCTTCCCTTGTCTCTAGTTGCTTCCTCATGGTTTTAAAGCAACCTGAGCAGGGGGAGTGAAAAAGAACCCTTTCCAGACGCTTGGCTGGCCCAAATCACCCCCACTGTGGAATAAAGGATGGCAGTTGCCCTCAAAGGACTGGAGGAGTTTCTTTCCTTCCCTCTGGCAGCTCTTCCTTTTGCAGGGGGATCGTTTCTCTTGTGTGGGTTTGAGATCCTGGATCCCAATCTCACTGAATTATTGCCATGGGTGGGAACCAAGTCCCTGGGAGTGTGTGTGTGCATGTGGGGAAGGGCTGGGCCTGGACCTGCAGCTCCCTGCTAAGGCCTGCACATCAGGCCTGTGCTGAGGGCACAGGGCAGAGCTGAAGGCAAGGCCTGCTGCCCATGCAGAGCACAGGGCAGAGCTGAAGGCCCAACACATGCCCGTGTCGAGAGCAGAAGGCTGGAACAGGCCCCGACAGCAGTGGCAACAAAGGCCAGACCCCTCCAGCACAAGGAGGCAGCCGAGCACCCCCATGTGCTGCCAGGGGCATTTTGGGGGCACTACTGAGCCAGTCCCTCTGGAGGGATGGGCAGTTCCCAAGGACGAAGCTGAAGCACACTGAGGTGTCCAGACTCTGTCAGGGCGGCAAAGCGGAATCCTGCAACCACTGTGGCCCTGGTGGAAATGATATCTCTTTTCTAATGTTGTAATGGTTTCATTAACTCATTAATTAATTGTTTTAACTAATAATACACAGTCTGTTGAATCACTTTCCGCTTGCATTCTGCAGCATTTGACATGAGCTGCTATTGTGGGAGCACAGCTTGGGAAAATACTGAAACTTTCCGTTTTGATGAAGTAACTCTGATAGGGAGAGAAAGGTGTGTTGCTGAAGTTGGAAATCGAGCATGCAGAATTTATGGACCACAAGGATATTTTACAGAAACCAGAAGATAAAGAAGAGACTAACGGAGACTCGGTATATGTAACGGAAAGTCCGTACCGGGGCAAAACCAGAATAAAAAGATTAAAAATATGGACTTAATTCGCATAAACCGGGAGGAATTAATAACCAGTAGAGGAGAGATTACTCCTCAATGAAGGGGAATTATGTCATTTAAAACCAATGAACATTAATTTCTTTCTTTCCTAAAAATTAATAAAGAGGTGAAAAACAGTTGCATTGGTGTCTGTGTAGAGGCCGGGATTCTGTAGGACATGGACACACCCAGGATTGTGAATAAAGTAATGCCTTGCTTTCTAACAGGATAAATGCAGTGTTAGAGGGTTTTATTGTGGCATGGATTTTGGAGGATTTTTGGTGACAGGTGTACAAGTCTGATGAGAAGCGTTTGAGAGAACTGGGTGTGTTTAGCATGAGGAGAAAGAAGTTCAGGGGGGACCTAATCGTTCTCTACAACAACCAGAAAGGAAGTGGTAGCCAGGCGGGGGATGGCTTGTTCTCCCAGGGAACAAGCACTGCGACAAGAGGAAAGGGCGTCCGGTTGTGCCAGGGGAGATTTTCACGGGATCCTAGGAACAATTCCTTCACCAAAAAGCTTATCGAGTTTGGGAACAGAGTGCCCAGAGAAAAGGCTAAGTCCCCACCCTTGGAGGCATTTAAAGGCTCTGTTGATGTGTCATTTGGGGACATGGTTTATTGGTGGAATAGGCAGTGTAAGGTTGGCAGTTGGACAAAAGATCTCCAAGGTCTTTTCCAAGCTCCATGACTTAGAGATTTAATTCATCTCATCCAACTGAGTTGAGGTTAACTCCAACACTTGAATCAGGGCTTGGAATCCAACACCCTCAAGGGTCCCTCCAAACATGGCTATTCCATGTGACTGCCACTGAGGAACAGATGAGAATAAATGTAAAAGAAAGGAGAATGGAAGTTCTTGGAAGAAGATTAACACCAAGGCAGCCTTAAGCATTACACCAGGGCCACTGGAAGTTGCTGAGCTGGGGTGGGGACGAAGGGCGGGGCTGGCCTGGCTGTGATGTGATGTGGCTCTTGTGACATCACAGGCATTGTGTCACAGTGGGGGCAGCTAGAGATGGCCCCAGCAGGTAACGCTGCCCCAGTCGAGCCTGGACAAGTGGTGAGTGCACACACGCAGGGGCGAGGCTGCGCTGGGCGAGGGTCGGGGCCAAAACGCTGCCCCTGGGGCTGGGTTCTCCCTCTGCATCCAGGGTCAATCCCTCACCAGAACACCTGGGGCACCGAATGGTGCTGCTTCTCCTGGGGTAGTGGGACAGGCCTTGCTGCCTGCCAGCTGCCCTGGGGCCCTGTCCTTCCTGCTCCACATCCCCGCTGCTCCCATTCGTACTCCCCTCCCCTCTCGCTCCTTCCCTCCCTTTCATCCCCGCTCAACCCCTTCTCTCTCTCCTCCTGCAGGCCATGGCTGCGAAACTGTTTCTTCTCATGCTTTTGCAAACCCTCATCCAGTACCCACAGATGGTGGGTGATGGGCTGGATGAGGACACCCGTCTGCACATGGAGCTGCGTGCAGAACTCCTGGACAGAGAGATGACTCGGCTGCTGCAGGAGCTGGAGCAGAGCAGCCTGGAGCGCAGTGTCAGGGCCTGGGGAGCCCTGCTCTGGGCTGCCTTGCAACAGGGTGACTTCTGGGCTCTGGCTGGAGTCCTGGGCCTTCTCTTGTGGCTGTGGTTTATCCGCAGCAGAAGAAGCCACCAGCCTGACAATAATGGCCGGGAGGAGGAGGAGGAGGAGGTGGAAGGAGATAATGTTGTGATTGTGCAGCAGGTAGACAATGAGGATAGGAATGAAGTCAGAAATGTTGGTGAAAATGAAGAAGAAGCCGGCAATGATGCTGCCATTGCAGAAAATGGCAATGATGATGGAAATGCAGTGGAAGAAGAAGACGATCCTGAAAACGACATTGGAAGGATTTTAGAGGGGCAAATACAGTGGCCTACTCAGGACCTGGAGAGAGGTTGCGAGATGACATCTGACATAATGGACATTTTCATATCTGTCTTTGGACACCTCTTGTCAAACAGTTCATACCCACTGCCACAACGAGCCATCGGGGTGGGCAGTGCCTTTGAAGGCTGGAGTCCCCGGGAGGAGGATGTGGTGTACACTGTCCTTGTACCTCTCAATCCTCCCCCGGGGCACACCTTCCATCTGGAGATGGACATCTCAGGGCACATACCCGGCAGGAACTTCTGCGTCCGTGTGGAGCCGGTGTGCACCTGCCCAAGGGAGCAGCAGGATGACAACGTGCTGTGCTTCATCCATCACTCCCAGGAGCAGGTGAGGAGGAATGAGGAGCCCAACTTCCTAAACACCCTCTGCACTGGCTCCTACCTGGATGTGGAGAAAACTGCCCGCTGGTTCTACCAGTTAGTGAGAGCAGTCTGGGTGATTTTGCCTCACTCCCAAAGTTGGCAATTAGTGCTGCTGCCCTCCAGCCGCTGCTGCAAATTCAAGGTGACCAGAGGCACAAAAAGCTTCACGGTTGAGATCCTTTTTGGGGTGCAGCAAGGAGTCTCAGATATCTATGTGAGCAGCCAGCCTACAGAGGCCCTCTTCACCCCAAGCACAGTGTGGCCTGAGACCTACGCCGTGGCAGAGATGAAGTTCTTCAGATACATTTCCAAGCAGGCTCCACGTGACAGCTGGCACCTCAAATGCCTGCAGCTCTTGGCCCGTTCTGTGGTGGGCATTGGCTTCTCTACTTATATGATGAAGACCATTGTGATGCACCTCCTGAACACCATACCCATGTCACGGTGGGGCAGCAGGTATATCCTGCTTCAGTTGGAGGATAGCGTAGAGTACCTACGTTGCTCCTTGTTGGAGAAACGCCTTGACCACTTTATTGTGGGCAACCAGAGGGTTCCTGAGGTGATCAGCTTGCCCCTGGAAGTCCAAACTGCCGAGCCACTCAACCTCTTCTATCACCTGGCACAGAATCCGACCGCCCACACCCAGGCAATAAGCGAGTACCGTAATCTGCGATACCGGCTCAAAATAATGTTGCTAGAAGGCCATTGAAAGAAGTCTTCCTGCACACAGCTGTGCTTGGTGGTGTCACAGCTGGTCCAAGACAACCGCTTCAAACCACAGGGAAAAAGAGGAGGATGTGGACAGAGAGAGGGAACAGAAAACCCTTTGCAGCAGCATTTTGCCATCAGCATTCCCCTCTCAGCAGTCTGCCCAGCACAGCATCCAGTGATGACCAGGGGGTTACGAAGATCACTTTCATCCTCCTTTCCCCTCCCACTCTCATGGCCATTGTGGTCATTTTAGATGGGCCCAGGAATTCTTTCTGGTACCTCCAGCTGCTCAGGGATCAAGCGAGAGGCATCGCTAATATTCCTAAACTGTGTCTCTCCTTGTTCCCTGAAGGGACATCTTTAGGTCAGCATTGCACACACTGTGTGGGACCTGACCTGAAATTTTTTTAATATATACTTTAGAATATTTTCTATATCACATATATTTTAATTAATATTTCATATATCTCTGGATATTTAATATAGCATATAGATATTAAATCTGATATAATAATACTTTTATATATTAGTATAGCATTTATAAACTCTCACCGTGTTTCCCCCTGTCCCCTTAAGGGACATCTTTAGGTCAGCCTTGCACCAAGACTGTCAACCCCAGCCTCTGTTGCAGCTGACCTTAATGTTTTTATATATAAATATAGAAGTTTTTAAATTTTTAGATATATATAGATAATATAGAGTATAGTTAATTTATTTGATAAAATATTACTGTTTTGCAAATATAGCACCAATACATCTGTCCCAACACATAGTAATGCCCTGTAGGTACTGCCTTAAAGACTGGAAATCCAGAAACTGCTTTCCCCTTTGCTTCAATAAAGAGTGCTATTCTAGAATCTGGATTGTTCAAGTTTGTGTGGAACACAACCAGGCCCAGAGGCTCGGGAAATCACACTAGTTGTGAGTCTGTGCTCGTGAACAGTCGCATTGAGCTCGACCACGCTGAGAGTGCTGAATGGCTTCTCATCCCAAATTAGGCCTCCTGCCACCCGGCTCCTCTGCTCATCGAATCACAGAATGCTTTGGGTTGGAAGGGACCTTAAAATTCATCTGGTTCCAACCCCCCTGCCAAGAGAAGGGACACCTTCCAGTCGACTCAGTTTCTCCGAGCCCCAGCCCACCAGGCCTTTAACAGTTCCAGGGCTGGGGCCTTCACAGCTTCTGGGGGCAACCTGTGCCACTGCCTCACCACCCTGACACTCAAGACTTTCTTCCTAATATCCAAACTGAGCCTGCCCTTTTAATTTTAAAACCATTCCCTCTTGTCTCTCACAATATGCCCTTGCAAATAGTCTGTCCTCATCTCTCTTGTAGGCTCCTTTCAGGTACTGGAAGGCTGCAATTAGGTCAACCCAAAGCCTTCTCTTTTTCAGGCTGAACAGCCCTAATTCTCTCATCCTTTTCTCATTGGGGAGGTACTCCATTCCACTCATCATCCTAGTGGCCCTCCTCTGGGCTCACTCCAACAGTTCTATGTCACTGACACCAGTGACAACAACCACCAATTTCACCAGAAAGCTTTCAGTGGTGACTGTAAATGCTTTTTCTCTCTCTTCCCTTCTCTCCTTTTCCTTTAGCTCTTCTTCTCTCTCTCTCTCTCTTTCCCCTTAAACATTTTCTTCAGTGATATCTTTATGGTTTTACATAGCTATATTGCAACCAAAACAGCTAAATACCTCTTTTTCTTTGCAACACCTTTATGCTTTTATATTGCCATGTTACTACAGATACAATCAAACCAGATATTTACCTGTATTCCTTTGCAACCAAATTGTTCTAAAATAAACCATTTATATATATATATCTGTAAACAGTGATCATTAGTATCGATTTACTTTAAATCAGTCCAAGGAATTTATCAGCAAAAAAGAAGTTATTCCTGCCTGGCAGAGAGGGTTGTAACACCTGGGGATCCCAGAGCTGGATGCAGTACTCCACGTAGTTTCTCCCCAGAGCGGAGTAAAGGGGCAGAATCACCTCTCTTGCCCTACTGTCCACTCTGCAGGGGATGCAGCCCAGGATGTGATTAGCTTTCTGAGCTGCAAGTGCACATTGCCAGCTCATGTCCAGTCTCTCATTTGCCCGCACCCCCAAGTCCTTCTTGGTCAGGCTACTCTCCATCCCTGCATCCCCCAGCTTGTATTCTTACCAGGAGTTGCTCTGACCCAGGTGCAGCACCTTGGACTTGGTCTTGTTAAACTGCATGGGATTCCCATGGGCACACTTCTCAAGCCTGTCCAGGTCCCTCTGGATGGCATCTCATCCTTCAGGTGTGTCAACAGCACCACTCAGCTTGGTGTCATCAGCAAATCTGATGAGGGTGCCCTCGATCCCTTCATCTAGGTCATTAGTGGTGATATTAAATAACAGTGCTCCCAATATGCACCTCAGAGGGACACACTTGTCACTGGTGTCCATCAGTGACTCTGAGCCTTTGACCTCTGGATGCGACCATCCAACCAGTGTCTTATTCATCCAACAGTCCACCCATCAAATCCATCTCTCTCCAATTTACAGAGGATGTTGTGGGGGACCGTGTCAAAGGTTTTACACAAGTCTCCAGATAAATGACACGTGTAGCCCTTGCCTTGTCCACTCCTCTCCTCGCTCCATCGTACTATGACAGGGAGCAGGTTTTGACCAAAATAGTATTTTGTAGAGTCATTTCATAAAGTCATTAGTAGCAATTTCCCTTTGGTGCTAGAGCTTAGGCAGCTTCTTTTCCACGTGCATCTTGATTTCTACCCTTGCCCTTGGGACAGGAGAATTTGCTTTGGTGTGGTCAGACACAGTGGGAAAGCCTCATGCCAGCAGGTGGTGGGTTGGGTTATTTCTGCCAGGGTTAGAACTGCCTCCAGAAAAGCCTGTGATCCCTCTAGTCCCTATTCACGTGCTTTGACTGCTCTGAGACGAGTTACAGGCTGCAAGAAATGTTTGTCAGGCCAAAGGCAGATCACAGAAAGCATGGATCTGAAACCAGGGTGAACTAATAAATAAATGGATGGAGTCTCAGCCACATCAATCACAGCCTGTGTTTGCCAAGCAGATTAAAATGACACAAACACAAAACATGTAGGAAATGGTGGAAAAGTAGCTATTTTCCAAACAACATGATTCCTGGAGTCATGCATGTCTCATGTAACAATTAATGGAAGCTGGTGCACCAGTGTTATGACCCTCTATTGTTCCAATATCATTTATCACACAATAAAGTCATTACAATATTATTATTGTCTATTTTATGTATTTTAAAATTTATTACAATATTATTTCAATGTTTCTTACATTAAGACAAGGCTTTGACAAGTTGGTCATGGGTCATGACAAGCAATGACAGAAACAGCCCACACGAGAAGGAGATTTGATTTGCTGAAGTCCCTTTTGATTTCCATCCTGCCATCCTGCTGCAGCCCTCTGACTTGATGGCAGGATGAATGTGGGGCAGGATAGAGCCCAGATGCTGGCAGCTGTGAGCTTACTCAAGCCATACAGATGAATTTTGCAGACAGGCTAGGATATGATTTTGGGACCAGTGGTAACGTGCCACAGCTGTTACCCTATTGCACAACCCTGCCTGCTTTCAGGTTAAAGCTGGGGGGGGGTCGGCTGCTCTCCCAGCTCCTGAGCACAAGCTGAGAAAAGAGAAAGGGTGTTACCCATAAAACCCTTAAATGACAAGTCAAATCTAGGTCTCCAACATGGAAAATGCCACAGGTCTTGTTGTGGGGGAAAAAAAAAACACCAAAAAAACCCAAAAACACAGCAGCAAAAAACCCAAACCAAAACGTTAATAAATGTTTAAAATGTCTGCAATTTATAGCTGAGAGAAGCTGCTGCACACTGCTGATGACTTCTTCTCTGCACACTCCTCTTCCTTGCTTGTCTCAGGGGTCTACAAAGGCTGGTGAGGGTTTATTTCTGCTTTTCTCTGTGCTGAGACACCAGGTGAGACAAAACACCCTTAGGGTGCCCAGTGCTGTCAGCAGGAGAGCTGGTGAAAGTCATCCCACCCCACCCAGGAGCCAGCCTTCCCCTCCAAGGCTCCAGAGGTGCAAAGGCAGAAAGCTGTAGCCTGAGCTGTATTGCATTAGCACCTTTTGAGCTTGTCTGTCCCCTGCCATCCCTCATGCCAGGCTAAATCTGACCTGCTCTCACAGGGAATTCAGGGCATGCCCAAACTGTGGCCTTGCTGAATGCAAAGAGCAAGGAAGGGCTCCCACTTGTGCTGGCAGTCCCATGGAAAGCGACAGAGCAAGTGGGGATTTCCTGGGTGCAGAGACCCCATCTTCAAAGTCTGGCATTGCAGGTTAGCAAAATTCATACTGACATCCTGGGACATTCCAGCACTTAATTTCACTCCACACCGTAAAATTTTGTACAAGGAGAATTCACATTTTTCCTCCAGCTTTTAAGGTGGTGCATCCCCTGGTTTCATGTATTCGGCACAAAGGTTCTCACATGGAAGCACTTTCTGGCAGGCTGAATATCTTCCGCTCACCGCCAACCCATTTTGCACTGGATCATGGGAACTGTAGTCCAAAAGCATCATCTTCCCCTCCTCTTTAATGAGCTGGCTTCCCAGCCCAAACCTCCTTTCCCACCATACTCCAAAGGTCAGGCAGTTCCCATATGGCCAAATTGTGTTCCCATTTTAGTCATGGGATGATTTTAGGATATGTAGTCTTCCAAAGTTCCTTGCCCCTAAGAAAGAGGTTGAACTCTGCGGGTTTCTCTGGGAGGTCAGATGAGGAAATACTGTCAGATGATCTTAAGGTCTTTTAAAACTGAAATGTGTGATGTTCAGTGGCATGTTCTGGCTTGGAACTGTGACCAAAATGAAACAGCTAAATGTGACTCTGCCTTATGTAAATGAGAAATATTTTAGCAAAAGGAAGATTTTTTTTTTTTTTTTGAGAGCTACATCTTCCAAAGAGAACTCTTTCGATGAGATATCCCTTGCTTAAGTCCAGCTTGCTTTGATTTTTTCCCTGTCCCCCACTCCCATTCTGTGCCATGCTGGCAGTGCAGCTGCTGACTTGGGATGGAAACTGCTTTGCACCAGCAGTGCTCCTGATGAAATCCTTCCCCAAGGATGAAAGGACCTTTGCACAACTGCAATGGTCCAGAGCATCAGCACTTCAGTTCAGCATTCTGCTCTGACTCTGCCCTTTGTGAAAAATCTAACTCCTGAGCACTGAGGCTTGTTCTCAACCAGCCTGAACCAGTGGCTTTCAAGGGTGGCTGCCCAGCTATGCCAGCTGGGAATGCTCCTTTGCTTCTACATGTTTCCCCAGGTCTCAGAGGCAGGAGTCTTTCTAGACACACTGTAAAACTAGCTGTGAGGTGGACACAGACCCTACAGAATTTGACACTAAGCAACTGCTGAGTGCAGGGCTGTAAGGTATTTAACTTTCAGTCAGACGTAAATTAAGTTTATTAAATCTTGG